ATAAAAATCACGGATGAAAAATGGGTCCTATTTGCCTGTGAAAGTGGAAGGATGCCACTTGTAAACTGGCTACATGCAGGCTCGGGAACTATCACTTTTCGGGAGGTGATTTTATTTGGGTGTGAATATTTAAAAATGTAATTGGCTAATGTACCTAAAATTGAAAAGAAATGAAAAGATGAAAGACAAGACAATAATTTAATTTTTGTTTCAGAAACTCCAGTGATGTTGGCTTGCATGTTACTTGGCCCTGAACTTTGTTGATTTTTCACTGTTTTCAATGGGGCTTGAATTAGTTCAGCTAGTGGACCCTAAGATTGATCAGGAAAAGTCAGAATCTTTTGGTCTGGGAACCAGACTACACAAGCCGGCCTAAAAAAAAGCTAAATAGCGCCCTCTGTTAATGTTCCGCCTTTTTTTCCATTTTTGAGGAGTAAAAGCAAATAGCGCCATCTATTGACTAGTCATCGCCTTTCTAAACCTAGTGCCCTCTATCGATGATCATTTGAGAACATTGAATAGCGCCCCGACTATTCAGCGGACCATTTTAGGGAAACAGTTAAATTGGTTCCTGATAAGAAATTTCATTTTTGCATGGAGTAATGTATAATTTTAATGAGAAAACAGGTGGTTGGTTAATAAAGAATAAAGAATGTTTCTTTCACCATAAAGTTTTTTTTTTATTCATCTTGGAATCATACAAAATGTATCCGAAAAAGCTTTTATGTTTTAATTTTGTTTGAATAAAACAATGGTTGATGTTATTACAATATTACTTGACATGGCTATGTACAAAGTTGTTATTCGTGGTGAACAATCTTCTGGTATTTTGACTAGTTATAAGGGTACTTCTTGAAATTTCCGCTTGTCCAACAAAAGAGGTTAAAATTCCCCTTAGTAAATGTAACCCTTTTTTCTTTTACACGTATGCTTCATGTTAAAGGGAATATACATCATTTGCTTTTGCTGTAATTTTCAGAAATGGATGGAATTTGGGGGTTGGAAATATATAGCAAATATAGTTACACTGACTTTTTTGAGGTTTTGGGTTCGAAAATGCTATAAAACAAAGAAAAACAATCATTTTCCTGTAGTCTGGTTCCCGACTCCATTTAAGAAGAAACAGAGCAGTTTACATATATTGGGGAATTGTAAGGTCAGGGAACCAGTCTAGCTGGCTTGTACCCGTTCATAGGTGTGTAATCGATTGCAAACAAGTGCGATGGTCAACTGGGGCCAGTATTTGAAAAAAAGCCAGTTTTTTCCAACGCTGATCGGCCGATCAGCGTTGGAAATTGATACAAAAATACCACTTTTCTTGAAAATGACAGTATACCAGGTGCCATGATTTTACAGGATGCTTTACACTGTCATTCACTAACAGTCCAGCAAGGTATTTCAAAATGATTTGGTAGTTTTATTTTTTGATGTTTGCAAATGTTGTATTTTCCCTTTAATGGACACAATTTGCAAAAAAAAAAAAATCCGAAGCAGGTTATTAAAAGACTAACCTGTCGAAATTTCAGCTCAGTAGATATACTTTTTGTGAGTGCAGCGTTATGGTTTCCTTTCTAAAAAAAAAATGACAGTATGCGTGGCAAACTGATTTAACAGGATGCGTGTTTGATTATTTACTTGCAAAATATTTGATATTTTGACAGTTTCATTTTTAAATGTTTACAAATGATTACCTTTCTGTATAAGGATATGCTTCCATGTTTTATAGTAAAAACACAAAATCTATGGGCATGCTGCATTGTACATATTTTACAATCCTTTCAAAATGAACAATTTTATGAAACTTGTTTGGGAGAATAATGGTGTTCAAATGAATTGATTAAATCCATGTTAAGAAAAACAAAACCAACTGTTCAATCAAAGCTAGGTGAACAATGAGCGTTTAGTATCTTGAGAATTTAAAATCAAAACCTTAAATACTGGCCAACATCTGAACCTTAACAGTATACACAATTGTGATGACTTAAAAATACAATGCTTGTTAAGAATACAATGTAACTTACATATTTGAAGTTCTATTTTTTGTTAGGGGGATCATTAAGATGGGGTTGATATTTTATACATGCCACATCAAAAAACAAAGCAATTATTAAAACAGACTCCAATTTACTGTGAAAAAAAAAATAATTTTCAAACTTTTTTGAGTTGTGCACTTCAAGAAATGTGGCTTTGTAGTTTTATTATTTTTTTAAAAATTATGTTGATATTTGTACATGTACATGTAATTGTCCCTTTCAAAACTTTAATTACCACTGAGTTTTCTACAATGTGCTATATAACTTAACCAAACGGGGTCCGGGCAGATTTTGAAACAAGGCGCCTCAAATCACAAATTCTTACAAAAAGACAGGGAAAGGGTGTCAAATTCTTCTTACAATTCTAGCTAGGGTACGTGAGGCACTTTCAAGACACATTGAGTACCCCCAAAAACATCTGAATACCTCAGGGTTACCAACCCTAATTACCTGATCAATTAGTACTTCAATAAAACCAACCATGTTCTTCCTAGTTTTAGAGCCAAGAACAAACAATTGAATATTATCTAAAAAATTTAATGGCCTGCTATCATCTCCCATCAACAGTTTTCCAGGATACCATAAGAAGACTTATACTGCATTGTGTATGGTGAGGAAACAGCGCAATGAAAAAGAAAATATTGGAAGCATTGAAATGTGCAGAAAAGAATAACGCGTTCCAAAATTGCAGCCAAATTTGCGTCATAGACGCTTCCTTTACTAAATGACTCAAAAAGGTATTTGAAAGTTACAAAATGGCCTCCAACTTGATTTCTGAAGAAATCTTGTTGCAGGAAGTGTAAAGTACCTCGCACATGGGTGTACAAACTGTGGGTTTATATGATAATGGATAAAATAAAGGATTGCTGGAAAAAAACAAAAGAAATACAAAAGTATATATGTCCAATAATATACTTGAGAGCAAGTCTACATTTTTTAGGTTTCGCAAAGGCAAAGCCGTGTGAATTAATTGCTTGATGTATAATTGCCCTAACAAGTAGTCTTGATTTAGTTTTTTTCTCTTTATGAATGTATTTCTTTTATACATGTACATACATGTACCAGAAATTTACCTGAAGGAGATTTTGGTTTTTCTCCCATTATGTTAGGAAGGTGAGGAATGGTGCTTGTAAAATAGCTCAAAGCAGTTTTCTTCCATACAAAACTTCTCCATAGCAAGCATTACAGCCAATGAAACCCCCCCCCCCCCCCCCCCAATACTTCTTTTTCAAAAAAAACGATCAAAAAATCTTCCCGGTTCCTCCATTGTGCATTATAGGCAGAGTTAAGAAGCATTTTCTCTTAATATATACATTTTGTCTTAATATCTATATATTTAACAATTTACAAAAAAGAAATATGGGCATCAAAATAAATCAGTTTTTGTTTTGTTCATATTTACAAAAAGTCATTTTGGCATTATGTTTTCTTTAAATATTCCTCGGAACGCCTCGATTTGACAAGATTGTTTCTTCATAGCATCGGTACTGTTACGACACAGCTCCGTCAAAAGGAAAAGTGCCACATGCAAGGCTTGAACCATCAGTTTGGAAAGGGCTAGGTGGCATACATGTACATCATTAATGGACCATGCATTGGGTGTGCGGATCACAAGAGAACACATTCGTCATGTAACAAATGGCTCCAACACATTATGGGCATTGAAGCTATAGTCCATCATTTGCAGCTATCCAAAAAGTAACTGACGTAATTATTGTTGAAAAACATACTTGGTTGAAAGATAGTAAGGGGACTAAACTCCCTGTGAATTTATTCTTTCTGGCAAGCTGTCATTTTGAAGAAATCAACGAAAAAAGGCCTTTCCCACGGTGCGTCTTAAGGCGAAATTTCCGTTAGTAGTTCGTTTTTTTATTCGGCGAAGGGCCTGCAAGCTTTTGCAATCGGCTCAGTCAGAATGTCTCAGACGCTGAATTCAAGCCCAATTTAAAACATGATTCAGCAACTTTTGATTTGAAATCGAGATCCTAGAATGCTGTTATTCTCGGAATATACAGCCGAAACTGAGCTGAAATTTCATCAGGTTAGTTGTTCAGCACCCTTCTTTAGATTTTGAGCACTTTTGTTGCTTCAAACGAACAAAATGCAGAAATTACAATTGATGGACTATACCTTTAACGGGTAAATGAAGTACATGAAATTTAGCAACGTACATGTTTATGAAGTTCCACTGATGTCCTATCACTGCCTGTTTCCAAAACGTTATATCCAACAAATTACACGGCCAAGTGTACGTTTTCGCTGAAAATGTAAGGCAGGAGTGAATAGGACGTTTCACATCTCGCATTCCCATGTTAAAATTTTCATGTGTCCGAAGTTCTATCGAACACGGGTTGGAAAGGCATAATGATGACACTTACACCTGGTCCGTACACGGATTTTCCATAGATTTTGGATTTACTACCTGCCCCTCGACCCTGGTACCAATCAGGAATGTCACCTGTGTAGGAGTGCTGGAACCCTGTTGAAGCTGTGTTGGCTTCTTGATAGTGGTTCCCAATATCTCCCCACATTGGAACCTGGGTCCAATCCATACATTTTGGATAGTGTGAAAGGCCCCAAGATAACAAGCCTTAGATAACAGTGAAATTAGCCTTAAATACCCACGCTTACAGACGGTAAGATCAACACATGCAGTGGAAGATCACGAAGGTAGAACTGTTCCCTCCGGACGACACATTTTCGTAGCTAATCAGGATCGTCGAGCGCACGTTGAGCCACAGGCTTCAATCCTGCGATAATTTCTTCTTTGAGATTGCGCCGTGAGGAACATCTCTTAAATCAGCTGCACCGAGGAGGGAACACATCTGTGATACAAGTGCCCCTGGTCGGAGAGAGGGTCTCTCTTCAAAGGATGCGTCGCCTTGACAACCAGTTCATGTCAGGAGAAACAAGTCCTCTCACACAGCACAGTAAATTTCAGCACTTGTGATTGTTTTTTTTTGTTGTCCCTTTTGTCCGAGTTCTCACCCTAGACCCGATTAAAGAGATAGACGATGAATTCGTAGGTGCACATCATGATGGCCGTGTTCGGGATCTGCCTCACGAGATGCGTGGTGAGTCCACCGTACATTCCCCGGTAGCCCTCTTCCCTGGCGACCGTGACCAGTGTCTGGAAGAACGAACGGTACTTCTTGCCTTCCTCTCGCAATCTTGTCCGAGCAACCTCTGCAAAAGACGAACAAAAAGATTACAAATAATTTCCATCAAATTTTGTACAAATTTTAGTTTTGGGGGGATCCTTGGAACTAAAAATAAAGCATTTGAAATCACGCTCATGGTTTTACGAGGCGATTTCGCTTTTCACCAACACAATTGGTGTGGAATGAAGAACCAACCAAAATGAATGTATATTTCAACACCACCATCTCTTAGTGGCATCTGCTAGAACCACATTAAGTGCATTCTACGCTTCTATTCACCATTTATGAGAACGCAGTATCTGTCAAACAAATGGTAATAAAAACTTGTCTTCAAAATGGTGTCGCAAATGTTGTCAAATTGGAAGGTAAGGGGTACAAGCTGATGATAATAATAATAATAATGTGGTGCTTATATAGCACTTTATACCAAAGGTCTCAAAGGGCTTCACAATTATTACCCCTGTTCATCAGGGCCCAATTTCACGGCGCTGCTTAACAGTTAGCACAAAAGTTGTGTTTAGCATAGCAGAAAAATTTGCTAACCTTAAGCACTATTTCACGGCGCGTGTGTGCTAACGGTCGCGCATGCATGGAGATTTCTATTGTTACGTCACTAAGTTAAGCAAATTTTTCCTCCGAAGTAAGCGTACCTTTTGCTGTGCTTATGCTTACGGTCTCCATGAAATAGACGGAGGCTCTGTTAGCAAAACATTGTGTGCTTAGCAGCGCCGTGAAATTGGGCCCAGGCCTTTGAAACCAATTTTCTGCAGCAGCTCCAGATCAGCGATCTGGTCTCTACCTTCACAGGTACCCATTTATACCACTGGGTGGTGAGAGCCAATTGTAGTAAAGTGTCTTGCCCAAGAACACCATGTTCTGGGTGCGTAACTTGACTCTAACTTACCGTGTGGGTAGGCCAGCGTGGCAGCTATCGTCTTGGACGTGGCCGCGGCACCCATGAACATGACAAAGTCCAGCTTCCTTCGCTGTTCCGACACGTCGCCGTGTTGCTCTGTCAGCAAGGCCTTGATGTGCTCGTACAGGACAAAATGGATGGCCGTCTCCGAGATCCCCATGTAGGAAGCGGAGATGCCGCGGTAGAACCCCCTCAGGCCCTCCTTGCGATGGACGTACTGGGCGCAGCGGAACATGTTGGCGTGCTTCTTGCCGTTGCTGTAATTAGTTGTCAGAACAAAGTAAAGTTGTTTACCTAGCAGTCACTAGCCAAATTGACCTGTCCTGGTAGAATCGCGTCAACGCAACTTGTGAAATATTGTCCAATTACATGATATACAAATAGATGCGGAACGCGAAAAATCTGAGACAAACAAAACTTGGTGTACAAAAACTCCATAGGGTTGTCTAAGGAGCGTGGCTAACTCGCAAACGGCGATAGGTCAATTGTCACCGAGTGCACATTTCTTCAAACTGATGCTCAACTGATTAATGCTTAGCACATGAATTTGCTTAACACTTTTGCTGTAGCAGCTCCACAAATGTGCCTTCGGTTTAGTGCTGGAATTGCAACAGTGGGTATGAGTTTTTGAGCCCAGAAAGGTTCCCTAACTATAACAGTAACTTCTGCATTTACGATGAGCGTATTTTACAACTTAGCAAGGAATTTTGGCTTGTGCGCATGCATACATTCCGTAACTAAGGATTTGTGTTTGCAAGGTTAATGCAGATTTTTTAGTTTTCTTTTGCTTGCACGATAAGCACAGTGTCGTGATTGTAAGAACAAAATTTCTGTGATCGGCAGTGACTGGAAATTGGGCCCTGGCCACTCAAAGGTTTATGGCTTCAGACTAGCGCCCCTTCAACAGTGACACAGATTAATTGAAACCACCAACTTAGGGCTTGATGGCTTAGCTAGCAGAATGGTTAACTGACACACAAGTAAGTATATAAGCCAACTCCCTCGGCACTGCAAATTCATTGCATTTGTGAGTGTTATATAAATAGTCTGAACTTTGACATTCACTGAATTCTCACATTTCAATTCGGCTTGGCAGTTTTTTAGCCTTGGCTAGAAAAAGTGGGACTGAGAAAGTCACTCCCTCCCTGCCCCCCCCCCCCCCCAATGTCTCGGGGGATTGTTAAGTTGTACATATGGACGATCACTTGATGTTGTTACTTACACATGTTCCAGTTGGAGCCTGGTTTTGACCAGCCATATGGGGTTCGTGAGCGTGCACGCTGTGAAACCTGCAACAGAGAAAGGTACGGAAACTGCCCATTAGCACAACCACTTTGCCAGACAGGATAACACAAGACTTTAGAGTCAAAGTAATTGTTCATTCAAACAAATAACAAGGATGTTATTTAGAACGACACAAGTCACACAAGTTTTGTTCAGTTCAGTCAGGAGGGGGACATCTTTAGCTTTGCTTCACTGATGTGATCTCTGCAGTTAAGACAATTCAATTTCTTTATAGATGTTACATGAGAGTAGCTTTTCCAAATGACTTGAAGATGTCATCAAGCGATCTTCAATAACTTTCTTTTATAACTTGCTTATTTTACAATTTTAACTGTTCTGAATATACCTTTACACAGGAGGCCTGAAGAATGTACCGCTCTGTCATCAATGAGGAATATATTCTTTAAGCAGGCGGTGCAATTTGTTTCTTGGATTTTTTTTGGGGGGGGGGGGGGGGGAAAGAAGAGGGAGGGAATGATGAGTGTCCCTTACCTGCAAAGCCTGCTGACAACAAGTGTACTAGCGATGACTCAGGCTCTATTCTGTCATTTAGGAAGCTCTTTGTTTGTGCGTAAGCGCCAAAATAGATTGCCCTGCAAAGAGAATGCATACAGCAGAATGTTGAGATGTGCTACAGCTGCAGCTTGTTGTTGGAAATGATGGATTGCACTGAATTCACTGTACAACAAATTCATTACATTTATAAATAATAATAATAATAATAACTAATTCTTTTATAGCGCCAAATCCGTCCAAATTGACACTCAAGGCGCTTCACAGAGATAAAAATAAACCAGTTAAAATTGAAAAACAAACTAAAAATTATACAAAGAAAAACCTTTAAAATAACTAGGTGAACATGAACAAACAATTGTCTTATACAGGCAGGTTAAAAGGAACAGACACAGTAAAGCGAGACGACCATGATAAAGAGACTTAGAAAAGACTTACACAAACAGTGGGAAACGCACACCAAACGGACAGATAACAGAATAACCATGCAATTAAAGGATACGCAGAGACTAGTTCTAAGTCTTAGCTCAGGGCATCCAAATTCCTGTGACAAATTGGCATTTAAGGCTTTTTAGTAGCCCTCAGTCCTTCATTGCAATATTTTTTTTTTTTTTTATCTGCAAATATTTAACAGTGAAGATGTTTTTTGGGGGGCATAATCTTACCTTGACGGTGCAACACCGATGAGATTTGGGCCTAGACCTCTGAACAGTGCAGCGGGACCTTCACGCTCAACGATATACCTAAGAAAGGAAGCAACGATAGGATTATCATTATGTTCAGTTGTATATCAACTTCAACTTGGATCATCTTTATTCAATTCATTACGGCCATCTTTGAAAAATTCAACAAATTTAACAATTCTAAACTCTTGTCAACAATCATTAACCCTAACTTTACCAACTCCATCCAAATTCAATCCCCCCCCTCCCCATTTTGTGGGATTTTAGCAGAAAAGCCATGTGTTCCAAGTCCATTAAAATTTACCAGCACCATGGTTGATTTTAACGCACTTGGTCTGTTCTTCTTCCAAGTTTTGCGCATTATGTGAATCAGAGTGAGTGATGGATTGACATGGTCTTCTACTTAGTAAAACTAAGTAGGGAGTTAGGGTTCAACAATTTGATGGGAACATTCGGGTAATTTCAAGTGCAAGGTTTAAATGATCTGCGTACTAAGACTACTTCAAGTTTGAAGACCATTACAAAACAAAAACCTGTGCGATGTATTACGTAATATTGTTCCCATAATCTTTTTTTCTCCGCTATCACACGGTGTAAACAAAGTGCAAACTTTTCTTTTTCACGTCATGCTGGATGTGGGACAAAAACCATTGTTTGAAATGTTTTCGACAGGCAGCGACAACAAATTTCATTGAATTAGTTTCAGCCTACTTGATTCATTCAACCATTGAAACATTTGTTCATCAGATTGGTCAAGTCGTCTCAAACTGTTTTGAAATGTACCTGTAATTACTTTCGTTCCTTTTTGTTACGAGAAAATGTCAACACCTTTTTGCTTACCTTAGGCATCTGATAACTCCCAGGGACTGCCTGCTGTAACCTTTGACCTCAGTGACCCCTCCTGTAGTGGACAAACCCGCGTTCACGTTGGGAATATACACTTTGCGTAGTGATGTGTTGGACGACTGTAATCTCGTTTTGACGACCTCAAGTGGACATGTTAAAATTGCACCGACTGTACCTCCGGCTCTGTAAATAGAAAAAAAATTAAATTAAATAAATAAAAAATAAAATTATCCTCTATTATCCAACAAAGCACTCCACTTTCCTGCTTAAACCAAAAAAAAAAAACCACCCAGAGTTGGCCACTGTCAGAACTTGTTTGATCCAGCACGGTACAATGTAAAGAGTGTTTTTACAGCTTTGTTATTTTTGCGATGGAATTTTTGTCGGGATATTTTTTTTTTCAACCAAAAAAGTCTGTAGAAGGGGGAAACAATGGGAAACAATTTCCGGCTCAGTCCCAATTAGAAGATGCTAGACTAATTGAAACAACACTTTGCATCTTTCTTTATAACTAATTCAGAGCCGACAAAAAAATGACATATTTTATCACCTCTTTTCTAATCTCAAATAAAAATCCCGCCATTTTCAAGAGGAACAAATCTCTTCTATAGCTGCAGTACACGAGTACTAGTTCAACTCCCATTTATACCCTAATTTGGTACTTTGAACCATGTTTAACCATGCGGCAATGTCATGCACAAATTATTCCAGTCAAACCCTCATATTGAGGTGACGCAATACAGAATTATTAGAAATATGACGGAAAAAAATTCCCCCTTCGACCATTGACTAAAAAAATACAAAGGGAATAATGGAGCACGCGGATTGAGCCACAAAGCACCAACAGAATACTTTGAACCATGTTTAACCATGCGGCAATGTCATGCACAAAATATTCCAGTCAAACCCTCATATTGAGGTGACGCAATACAGAATTATTAGAAATACGACAGGAAAAAAATTCCCCCTTCGACCATTGACTAATAAAATACAATGGGAATAATGGTGCACGCGGATTGAGCCACAAAGCACCAACAGAACACCAATCCTTGGAAAATCCTTGGGAAATAACCCACATACTTCAGTGGAAAGGAACTGCTGAACCATGTAGCCACTGTGGGAGACCAGGGAGTGAGTAATAAATACTAAATAAAATAACAGATACATGTAGTTACAACTGCAATTGTTTTTCTACATAACAACAAATACCGAAACAAATCGGCATGGAGTAGCCAAATGAATATTCATCAAGTACAAAAATATGGAAAGCCTTGGTTTTGTTTTGTTTGATCTCATTTGACCTCTCCCTTCCCACATTGAGTTAATGCAAACTGCAACACTCTTGTTCAAACTGGTTTGGACTGCTCATAATGCACAACACTGATTCATAAACAGTAAAGGGGTTTACAACTGCTTACTTGTACATTTACAAATTGTCAGTGACTGCCCTCATAACTATTCATCAAGTGAAAGATGAAGGAAAAGAAAATACTTAAGAATGTTTTTCTTTATCCCAGTTGCCCTTCACTAACACAGAGTTAATGCCTACTGCAACACTCTAGTTCAAACTAGTTTGGACTGCCCAAGCATGCAATACATAGTCAAGGATAGTTACAACTGCCTGCTTCTACATGTGATATGGATCAAAGACCAAAACAAATTGTCTGTGAGTGCCCTCATAAATATATTCATCAAGTGAAAGCTGAAAAAAATACTTTAGAACGTTTTTCTTTATCCCATTTGCCCTTCAAGTACACAAAGTTAATGCAAACTACAACACTCTAGTTCAAACTGGTTTGAACTGTTGCCCAGGCACACAGTAAATTGTTGATCACTTCTTGCTCGTTCGAAGGCACGTGTTTTTAGAAAATAAGAGGTAGGCCTACAGGTTATTATGTGAATTTACTACACTTTTACCTCTTTACTGTGCACGAGTATCTGCCTTTTCAGAATGATTAAAAAAATTCCTTTTCCAAATTTGGTAAAAAACAACTTCATAAAGTCATCGACATCTCCTGACTTTATCAGCAGTTAACATCATCTGCACACAAATGTGACAATGAACACATAATCTTTGGACCCAAGTTCTTTGCGCAGTCCAGTCAAAGCCAACCACAAATTGTTTGCCATGCCATTCACCTTCCGGGTGCTCCGACCCACTTCTACTTCAAAGGGTAATGACAACGCACCATGAAACCATCGAGTGGTTTGACCCGAGCGATAGGAAGGCAATCTGTCTCGCTCCCACGTTCAAACCCTGATCCACTCACTAACATTTCAACGAAAATTGATAATTAAAGGGAAGATACAACATTTGCAAACATCACAAAACGAAATGATCAAATTATCACAAAATACCATACTGGATTGTTAGGGAATGACAGTCTACAGCATCCTGTAAAATCATGGCTCCTGGTGTGTTGACATTTTCAAGAAAAATGGTATTTTTCCAAAGCTGGTCGGCCGACCAGCGTTGGAGAAAACTGGCTTTTTTGAAAAAAAACTGCTCCTACTTTTTCATAATTAGTTATTCCGCGTTTTCTTCGCAATTGATTACACAACTGTGAAGGGGTACAAGCCTGCTAGACTGATTCTCTGACCTTACAATTCCCCAAAGTCCATAAATTCTCCATTTCATCTTAAATGGGGTCAGGGAACCAGACTACAGGAACATGAATGGTTTTCTTGGTTTTTCCAGCATCTACAAGCCCAAAACGTGAAACAAGTCATTTTAACAATATTTGCTTTAACATACTAATCCTCCAAATCGATTCATTTCTGAAAAGTGCAGCAAAAGCAAATGTTGTACTTTCCCTTTAATTTCGCAGAAAGAAAAAAAACTCATCAAGACAGTGACTCACTGAAGTTGAAGTTATTTTTCATACATAAATCAATTCTTAAAGGTTTCTGAGCTGGCTTATCTTTGTTTTATGACTTCACCAAAGTTTGTGCTATCACTTATCAGCAAGGCATTTTTCAAAACCCTCCCCAACCCGAGAGACGAACAAAAAAATTGGAAACTGATGTATCTAGAATTTACCTCAGAGTAACTCACTGTAATGATGAATCACAACAATCGGCATGGATGTATATCACAGTATACATTCTTTGGAATTCATGCGCATATTTATTTGTCATACGAAGAAATATGTACACACGTATCGTATTCCTACATCATAACATGGGCAAAGTAAAAAATTGCTGCTGGGCATATTGATTCAAATTCCTCTCGGCTCTGGTGGCAACTTCAGAGAAACTGATGAGCCAGCATAGTTCACCATATTATATCATGCTGAGCAATATACTGTGTAATCTCCGGTGAATTTCTGCATGCACAGATGTATGCACCATTGAAAATCCCACCCCTACGTTCCATCCATTCATCTGATAGGCATCAGCTGCTTTATATGTTAATGAGGGCAGTCAATTGTTTCGCAAGTTTTACTCTCTGATAACAAACAGCAGGCTGGATCTCCCATTCTGATATGTATGGCGAAATTGCACTCAGGAAAAAAAAAAAAAACACGTAGGAAGTGGCCTGGATATCCTGTGCATTGTTCAGTGCACACAAGATAGCTAAGACCAAAAGAATTGAGTCTAATGAAGATGGCAACAACAACTTTAGTTGACCAATAGGAAATTATATTGGCCAACAAAGAAACTAAGAAAGAGAAAGTTCCCAACATTTCACAAGAGTGGCACAAAATGTCTAAAAATCCAGGCGCTTGTGAACATGAACAAGCCCTGCCCCATTCCTTTACATGAACAAAAATCCACTTTCAAATCAAACTAAACCTTATCAGTCCTGGATCTTCCAATTTCAATATGATTTTGCACACCCCCTAGGGAGTTAGGGGCGACTCAAACACTGGTCCTCCTCTGTATTGGAAGCCACACATTATAGGTGATACTCGTTTTGAGGAAATCAAATTGGGACTTTTTATTCACTTGATATTCACAAAGAGCATGGAGATGATATTCACTATGGAAGATATATTATTCCTAGCCAATGTAATCGTTAAGGTCAAAGGTACATGACCCATGAGCTCAAGTTAATAAACAGTTTCTTGTGTCTTAGTTTAACCATGTGGCACCCAATAATAAATAACTTGGTTTATTATGTAACTATGTGGCACCATATAAGGAGGAAGGTTCAGTATTCGAGGCAAGACTGCGGGGAAACTTTGGGATAAACTGATGATGAAGCAAACAAACGGCGACACGAAAACAAAGCCAAGGTGGCAATCGCCGCAAACACCCCTGCAATGCACCGTGAATGCACAAAAACGCATTCATTTGCATGGCATATCCATCCCTTGGAAAAATGATCACACCTGTATTTTCTACACACACACACAAAATTAAAATTGTAATTGTCCACGTCTTTATACTGCAACCTCACAAAAGCAAGTTTGCAATTGGAAACAAATGTTGCACGGTGATGCCACTTCCGCGGTTGTGTACAAAGTCTATGGACAGTCCCAAAAAAAAGAAGTATTTCTTAACAAAATTGGAAATGTTTCTCAGTCCCAGATTCATGTGTTATCATCATTTTTGCAATGCATGACCTTCCTTGAGATGATATATGAAGAAAAAAGTGGCGTCAGGTTGCAACATTTTTTCCTGCAATTGTTTTGCCAAATTTTGCTTCACGTTCAATATATTCTGAATTATGGAAGTTAAGCGTACTGCAGGTTTTACCTGCATGATACATCTCTCTACAACTTACAAGCGCAGGTAACGCTTGCAGCGCCCACTCGTTGTCACACACAAATTGAAGGTGAGCGTGTAGAAATAGGACCGCCTAGCTTTAGGGGTTCGACAATATGTTTGACTTGTTTGACAAGTGAACATGTGAAGTGAAGAGTTTATTTAGGCCTGTGCTTGGGATAAAACAATCAATGTTTACAATCATGACTATCATTATCAACAATGTGGTTTACAAGTTCAGCAAGTGAGCAACATTTAATTCAAGGGTAAACAATGCAAGATGGACCATGCTTAATTGTTGAGCAGGTTTAATATTTGATTGAATACCTTGAAATGCACCTCACTTGTTTTTTGGCAGTGCCTCCCTGGAACTTGAGGTTACGTAATTCATGGCGTTTTGACGACACCCCCATGCAAATGCAATGCAATGTTGATACTGACCAGGGAGGGAGGGCTCCCCCAGCGCGGGTGTGCAGCCGAGCCCAATTTAACATTACATAAAATTTATGCAACTTTACTCTCACATTACACTGTCATGGTTGCAAGAATGGAAGAATTACTCACCCTCCTGCAATAACATGGGTCATATGAGCTGAAACCACTTGATTGTGCATCTTGTTGTCTTGAACTCCAGCAGTTGGACGAGAAATTGCCATACGTATCCATTCCTTTACATCTAAGAAATATTCGCTAACCGCCACTCTCTCGCGTGTACTGTTTATTGTGTACACATTTTCGCTAGATTTACGGAATCCCATAGAGTTTGCTATCACGCGTGTACCACATGCTGAAAACATTACACACAGCCTTCCGCTGGAGGCTGATTGGCCAGACGTTTGACCCCAAAGTTCATGGACGATCATTCACGTGAAGCAACACAATTGATTGGTTGGTATTTTTAGCTCTTATTGAAATCGCATGATTACACTGCTGAGAAATAACATGAATATGCATCAAATATATGAATAAATCATTACAGGAGAAACCGCGGTCTTTTCTGGGTATGGAGTGCGTAAGCGAACAAAATATACTGAGCTAGAACATCGGACTTGGTACTATGACTTTGTATAATATATATGTACCCTTTTTATTAGGTATTCCATTCGAGACATTTTAGGTTCTTTAGAATATCATTGGTGAATTAATAATAAAATAATAATTAATAATTAACACTTATATAGCGCCCGGAATCCCCGGATCCATAATATGCTCTTAGGCGCTGTACACATTAAAAAGATTTAAAAAAATTACAGCATAAATATGTTTAAAAAGGTGAACATGTAGATCAATACATACAATTACATTACAAGTCCAGTGAGGAAAAATTAGCCATTAAAAAAACATACTTTTTCTTTTTAGCATTTAGCCATTTAAAAACCGGTTTTGTGTGTGTGTGTGTGTTTGTTTGTTTTTTCTTATCTAAGAATTTCTTAGGGCAGCTCAAAAACTATGCCTGATAGCCGCTTTCGGCGACTTGGTTACCTCGTTGGCCAGTGGCACACCCAGGGTTTTTTGGGGGGAGGGGCTCAAATTTGTTTTTTCAAAAAATGTTGCCACACATTTTTTGCTGCAGAATTTTTTTTTTTCTTCGGGGGTGGACTATTTTGACGTTGGTGACACCACTTACACCCCTATTATACTTCTCGAAAATAGGCCATATATATCACCAAGGTAAAATCGTGGGACTAAAAAAAAAGATAAAAAAAGAAATACAAAAGAAATTGACAACCTCTTGGGGGGGGGGGGCTCAAGCCCCCCGAGTCCCCCCCCCCCCCGGTGCGCCACTGTCGTTGCCTATTTTGCGTCTTATCTTCTTGCACTTTAATGGGAAAAGCAAATTCATAACAGTGTTGAATACGGGAAACAGATACATAAAAAGTTGAACAGGCATCCCAATTTCCAAAATATCCATATTTATTTATGTCCCCATCACAAAACTTTGTGACGGAAATGCAGATGTCGCAAAGAATTGTGGGTAGCTCACTTGTCATTATCAATGTGCTGGCATCCAATCTGCACAGGTCATCGAGTTAACAAAATCTGCCCAAAGAGTGCTCAAACAAATTGAAAGATAGCGCCCGGCTGAGCCGAGGGCGTGCCGGTCCAGTCTACCGTAAAATTAATTCGATTGGAAAAATTGAACACCTTATTTTGCAAATTTCGCCCGCTGTCACCTGGTTGATCGCGGCTAATTATTCAAGGACCAATGACCTGCAACCTCGTCTCCAGGGTGTTGAACAGTACGCGCCCATCACTACCTGCTCTCTCTTACTATTGGAAACTAGGTTGGAAATAAAGTGAGCACTGGGGACGAGGTTGCAATGACCTGCTTCCGGCTGGGCTAGCTATCTCATCTCAGACTTAAATTGGACGTGTGGCGTCATCGTTATTGCTTTAATTCTTACACATCATTAAACTTTGGACATAAAAATGAGGCGTAATTAGGGTGCTAATATTTTCCAAAAGAATAGGAGGATTATCTGATCGATATGGGTCAAGGAGGGGGGGGGGGATACGGGCTAGGCTAAAGAGCGTCACTGACAAAGCTCTTAACTTCTGAGAAAGGGACAAAGGGCATATCCATATCCTCCACCACCAGTTACACCATTAGCTGGGATTATCAGAGGATTATGACAGGATTATTCATTATTATAGCTTAAACCATGGCAACTACGGCGAGTGTTACTGTAAAGTCTAGACACCGACTTAGCCCTTGAATCAAAGTAGTGTGCAAATTAGTCCTTATCGATCGATACCAAAGGTTTCACAAACTTGAAAGACATCATCACGTACTCACTGACTTGTACTTTATTTGGTTCGGTCGATTAGTTGATATTTGTCTGTTTGTTAGAGTGTTTGTTTAAAATCAAGATTATGTCCTGTGTTCTTAAAATGTAGTTTCTCCTAATGAAATTTTGTATGTTTTGTCTTAATTAACGGAAATAAAACTCCGATTTTGGGCGTCTGCAACCCAACTCTGAAATTTAAAAGTGGCGCACCAAAAAATTGAACCGCGCCGCCCTTTTTGGCCTTAGAGCCGAATTATCGGGCAGCCTAATTTGATGCCTTTTGGAAAGAAATAATTCAATAACTAAACATCGATGAATTTTTCTGTATGATGTCTCATTCAAACGTAACGGGGAATGGACACATCTTAATGCCAATTCCTGCTTTTGCCTCAGTATTTAAATAAATTGTCATATTAAAATTTATGCAGTAGTTTGAGATGAGGCCTGGATTTTATTGATAACTAGATTCAGAGTCAGACGCGCATTATAATTCGACAGAGGGCGCTATTGCATTTAATTGGTTTCGGATGTCGCGGTCACATCAGGTGGGATCTTTGCACTTTCGCAGTCGGAGTGAGGTACTTTCTTTTCGTGTTTTGCCAAAACTCCTAACACTATAATACACATGGAATACTGCTGTTTGCAGTGCGACCGGGTGCATGTTTTTGTCCTCTTTAATATTGATTCGTAAACAAATCGGAAGTTTGGGTGCACCCCTCCAAGTCCAACTTGTCCAACTCCAAGACACTCAACTGGGCTAGGGCTAGGCCTAGGCCCCCTGTTTTGTGTTAGTGTTACCTCTTTGTTGGCCTACCTTGACAAGGTAGTGTTATGGGCCTACTGTAATTTGCAGTATTTGTTGCGATTGTGAGGTTTAATACTAATAGGGCCCCCATTCCTGTAATTTAAAGAAAGTGCTGGCACTGTTGTGACTTTACTAAAGTTTTTGGGTTGACTCGCTCAACTACCATTTGACTACATCATACATTATTACGTAAAATATGTAACTAATTTGAGATGTTGAAGACCATCAGGAGACAGGAATGTTGTAGAAAAAGGAAAGGTACAACTATAGAATGCAGGGCCACTTTACTCTACATCCGCGCCTCCGTACGGCTGCGTGGAGGCGTGGAACCGCAGTCGACCTACCTCTGAAAATCCATCGTGGAGTCGTGGAGCCGCAGAAAATTGCGCCCTCTATCGGTGCGCGTCTCTGCGACTCCGCGACTCCTCGCCTCCACCACTGAGAGACAGTGCCCCGTCGCCCTCCCCCCCCTTCCTAATTGGCCCGCCCAATTAAAGTGACTCTGCGACTCCGCGACTCCGCGCCTCCGCGACTCCAGACAGTGCCCCGTCGCCCTCCCCCCCCCCTTCCTAATTGGCCCGCCCAATTAAAGTGACTCTGCGACTCCCCGACTCCGCGCCTCCGCGACTCCAGACAGTGCCCCGTCGCCCTCCCCCCCCCTTCCTAATTGGCCCGCCCATTTAAAATGGATATGGATGCTTCGTTCTCAAAAAGATTCCGCCGAGAATTGCACCCTCTATCGGTACGCGTCTCTGCGACTCCGCGACTCCGCGCCTCCGCCACTCCAGTGCCCCGCGTCTCCGCGATTCTGCGACTCCAAGACTCCGCGCCTCCGCCGCTCCAGACAGTGCCCCCAACACATTTACAAGCACGCCCTCCCTTCCGATCCTTCATGAGAAGCTTTGAAGACAAGTGCAGTGCATTCCTTCGCTGTACTTAGCACTTTTTTGCAGGTTTGCATATCTATTACTCCTATTCCATCCACGCCTCCAGGCAAAATAAAAAACCTTGCTTCGGCGTGGCCCTGCATTCTATAGTTGCTCCAAAGGAAAAGATATTGATATTTTTTAAGGAGCTTCAGTGTTAAGGTGTTCAGTTAAAATGATGACAAAGTAATGCAACCTGGTACACCATAAATACACACTACTGCCAATGACTGCAGCATTGTCCAACAAGACTTGAATTCAGATCATACCAGACCACAGTCAGACATAGTGCACAGACTGCTAGTCTGTAGTGACTTCTGCTTCTGCGTCTGCTTCAATACTGCGTAAACACCCTCTGGAAACACGCAGGCGTGCTGCTGGTAGCGCGAGAATCTAGTTGAGAGGGGGAGTGTGGTTCTAAGAGGTCCTTAACATCCACAGTTAATAACTCTGATTTGATTTGATCTGGCTTGAATGGTTTCCTGTGTGTGTGGAGAGTGGAACGGAAAGGTTCCACTCTGGCATTGTACATAGATTGAGGAAGTATTTGTAGTAGTCAATTTAGGTGTGCAGCCCCTAGTTGACCTGGTAGATGTTTTGGGTAGTTTGCAGCTACACTTTTGTACCATATTCCAACAAGTACTAATGGGTCGCCTCGCCATACCAGCGCAAAAGATCTTGCGTCCGGTCCAATGATCGAGACACAGCACATACATGTACATCCAACTTGCAACCAAGAAAAATTGTCTGAAGTATTCCTTCATGCCAAGAACAGTCATTGGTTGCAGTGCTGTGCCACAATCCATAACAGCAATAGAAGATCAAATTAGGTTTTTGCCCTTCACCGACGTATAAACACTGTATACTCAGTGTGTTACCTCCCGAGTGAAAGTTGGGGAAAAAACACGTTGGTGAAGGGCAAAACCTAATCTGATTTTACCTCACCCCGACGCAAAATTCCATCTTATGAATAGCAATAGAAGACAAAGACAAGTTCAAAGCAGCCGCCAACAAGCACTACAACAAGTAACCAATCAACCAACAACAACCGAGAAATTGCACCTCCCTACTCGATTTGCTCCTGTCAGGGGCGTTGAGTAGTATTCTACCAGAACCATGCTATTTATGGCCTAGGCTTGTATAGGAAAGTTAACCTACTAACTACCCGGCGTTCTTACAGAGCTGATCAGGCCAGTTTTTTCAACACGTCTGTGACACTGGCAATTCCTTATAGTTCCTGGTTAGTTGACACTTTTGTTGTCTCTAAGTATTTACTGAAAATGAATACCTTGTATGTGCTTGTTTTCTCCAGAAGCTTAACCAACAGCTTGCCTGACATGATGTGATGACGACACAAGCTAGTAGTTGCCGTAGCAGCATGAGATACCCCTTCAGGAAGAAGCATGCCTTGGCCTTGTTTGCCATGCTGCTGTTCGTTTGTGCTCTTTGTAAGTGTCATCGATATCTTTAAGATAAAGATTTCCGGTAGCACCGTGTGGCAGATCTCTTTTAAGAGTTTGTGAGGTTCTGAAAAGAACTGGGGGGAAACTCAACGTTTCGGAGAGTATGCTCTGCCCGACCACATGGTGCTACCGTAAATCTGTATCATATTGTTACCTCCATGCAAACCCAGTATTAAAATGATCATTACTTTGACACAAAATCCATTAAAAGCCATTTACAGTTCACTCTGCTGTATTGCACTCTGAACCTCGCAACCGCAATGATTGTAACCCCAAAGTTTTAGGTTCGATGTCCCATCCAAGCAAACTGTATACAGGTTGTCCCACAAAAAACCTAACAGTCGAAATCCAATGTGAGTTTCGGATTATATTCAAATTACCTCTTAAAGTCAGATAACCAATCTACCATACAGACTTCATTTCATTCAAATCAATGCATTGGAACAAACACTATGCTTCGTCGAACTCAAGGGTTGAAAATCGTCTTGGGCCACTTTCCTTGAAAGTGAGAAACGGCAGTTAGAGAAGCACACAAAGGATTTATTTCCTTTGATCAAGGGTAACATGTGACGTATTGACCGGCTTCGATCTGTAAACTTGATAAATAAAACAAGTGGCCCAAGTGTTTGTTCAAGTCCCGTATTGTGATTGCTGTATCTTTTGAACAAAACAACCTAACAAATTTATTATTATACCTAGTGATTTATATCACACCCGACGCAAAATTCCATCTTATGATAATTTGATTTGGTTTCAACCTAATGAAACCAACTAAAAAGCATTTGGAAGACCAATTATCTTCTCAGCAAGACATTAGACATGATTTACAATACTACCCTAATTTTTCTGAAAACATGCCTGATTCGACTGTTTTTTTTGGTGAGAAAAATTGTTTTCACCCTTGCTCATGGACACTACTCGGTAATATACAGTTCTCTTAAAACTACATTTGGGGTGTCGGTCATTTTCCTGGTATTTTAGGGATGCTGCGGCAAGAAGAGGTGCTCAGTAAAGAACTGTCCACATCATCCGTACAGGAAGTACAAGTCAATCTGATGTATCCCGTGGGGGAGGGACAGTATAGAAAGGAACAGCAGCGCATCGTACTGGAACAGCAACAGCAGAGCTTTGGTTTGTACTGGCTAAATCAAAAAATAGATACTGTAATCAGTAATGACCATAACTTACTAGGATAACCCATAATAAGGTTGCGTCTGAATTCTTAGCCAATTTAGTTTTGGATGAAGGCATTCATTTTTTGCAAAGTTATTAACCCTAACTCCCTAGGCATTTGTGCCACGATGCAGCCTCAATCCTGCAAAATCCTCCAACTGCCTCCTGTAAAAATTGCATACAGCCTCAATCCTCCAAAATCATCCGTTATTTCTTGAATGTGGTTCTTGGAGGGGTGACCACTGCTTCAATCCTGCCAAATCCTCAGGCAATCACTGTCAATATGTTGAGGCAGAGCCAGTGACATCATGGAGCAGTGTGGGAGGATTTCAAGCCTAATCTAGGCCTACATTTATTCACGGCTGAGCATAAACAACGCAATGGTCTGCCTATGGCCTGGACACAGTGCATCCTCCAAAATTAGCCACACATTTTTTTTGCCACACAAGTGTAGCCTCAATCCTGCAAAATCCTTGGAAAGGTCAGGGTTAATCCTACTTTTGATTTTTGGCAATCTGTGAATCTGTTTTCGATTCAGTAACTTTATTCATGATTTGATTTTCTGTTCCTGTAAAATCAATTCATGACGGTGATGTCCCTTTTGGGCCAACACAACTACTTTTGTGCCTTAATAACATATAAGTTAAAATTTTCTCATAATTCTAATGATTTTTCCATATAAATTTTTTTTTTTTCGTCTTTTCCGCCAACTAGAACAAGATGTGGGTCCAGTTGAGACGAAAAGAGGCAACTACCGCAAAGTAGCCTCCAAGACCAGGGAGGCATCGGTGAAGGAACTGATCGTTCCTCCTCAGGACGAGCAGAAGCCATCGAAGAAGAAAAACAGCGTCAACAAAAAGGTTGAGAAACTTAAGAAGAAGAGGGCCAAGGCGAAGAAATTTCGGGAGGAGATAAGCGAGGTCCCGGAGCTCTCTCCCGTGGAGATGGAGGAATTTCAGGGGAGGATGAAGGAGTATTGCAACCCACCATGGGAGCCTGTCAATGGGGAGGAAGGTACAGGCCACTTTAAGGCTGACCCATGTGCCTGTTAACTTAACCCTAAAAGGGCCAGGTTATTTTGACCATCTCTCAGCCGGGGGGGGGGGGGGGGGGGGGGATTCTGCCCCTAAGATCTCGGCCATCGAGTGACGAAATATTTTGAAACTCGGTACCTGCATAGAGCAACTCATCATGAACATACCCACAAAATTTCATGACTATAGGTCAAAGGATTTTGGAATTATGGCTAATTAATAATACATATGTACGAATGGTAATTCTGCTTTGTGTACACGACGTATATGGGAAAATTCAGTTCTCACGGAAAATTTTCACTGCGCGTCAACCTGTTGTCCGATTTTTATGTTTGCGCAAGGCTCTTGGCTAAAAAGTCATGTTTACCAGACCTTATTGGATGTGATCCAAAAAAATGGGAACTCATTTGCTGTGCAACCTGTTGGTAGTGATTTCACTAGCACTCATTAGCATCTTTGATTGATTTTCAGGACAAGTCAATGAGGACTATGAACTCCATCATGTGCATGTAATTGCTCGTCACGGTGACCGCACACCTATGACCCAGTTCAACATCCCGGATATCACCGTGGATACGGACTTCAACTGCAACTTGGAGACGGCCCGAGAGAAGCTGCCATCCTCCACGCTCCTCTCGCGGTTTCTGGCTTCCATCATGGCCCAGGAGGAGGCGTTAGGGGGCTGGCCCCTGATGCCTTGGTTCCTACGCAAGCTTCCCATCGGTGGAGCAGCTCGTCGCTGCGGCATGGCCCAGCTAACCCCTACGGGCTGGCTGCAGCACATGAAGCTAGGGGAACGTTTGCGTCAGGCCTACACCAGCAAGTTAGTCCCGCACCGGGCCTACTTCCGCAATCCCAACATGACCCGCTTCAAGAGCACCATCAACTCCAGGACGCAGCAGAGTGCCTTTGCCTTCATGTTTGGCTTCCTGCCTCGGCTTGAGCTCCGGCACGGCGAGTGGCTGAAAGCCGCCGACAACTTCCTCTTCTGTCCCTCGAACTGGAACTGTTCCTGCCCGGCTTACTCGCGTCTGGAGAAGAGCAAGCAGCAGCTCTACTCGGCAGTGCAGAAGAACACGACAGAGGTCCAGCAGCTCCTGAGGTCAGTGGCAGTGCTTCTCATGAAGGAGCCCAAGACCAAGAGCCTTCCAGGAATCACAGGCCAGCAGGAGATGTACTCAGCTCTTATCTGCCACAAGAAGCCCTTACCCTGCAGCCCCTACGGCTGCGTCGCTCAGAAACACTTGGCCAAAATTGTAGCCTACACGGACCGCGTTGGGCGGGAGTTGCGGAGCAACGAGCATGGACCCCACCAGAAGCTGGCCCGCCTGAGCATGCACCCACTCCTGACCGAGATTGCCTTACGGATGAAAAAGATTAGCCACGGTGCCTCCAACTACCCCAAGTTTGCCTTTTACTCGGGCCACGATGTCACCATGACACCTCTCCTGGATGCTCTAGGGCTGGGAGAGTACCACTGGCCTCCTTACGCGTCCAATGTCATCTTTGAAATGTGGTCCAAAGCGGGCGAGTTCTTTTTCCGTGTGCTTTACAATGGCCAGGACAAAACGAGTTTGGTGCGCTTTTGCCGGAAAAACCTGAATGCGGATGGACTGTGCCCATTACGCTTCTTCTTGAAGTTTGTCAACAAGGATAACATGGGCTTCTTTCACGCAGACAGTTTTGAAAAAGCTTGCCAGTTGACATTCTAAAGTATTCTTTAACGTGCATTATTAGTAGTAAATATTGCTTCTACGAACTGTCACCTTAACAGAGCCAAATGCTGCCCTTTTTTCTTGATTCAGAGAGAAATTTATGCTTTATACTTGTCCAAAATTCACAATCAAACCCAAGCGGCAATATACTTATAAAATTTAATTTTTGTATTTTTTTTTGCAAATTGAAATTTGCAAATAATTAAGCAGCCTTAACAATATATGGAGTCAGTATTTTGAATGTTTATTGTTATGTGATATTTTTAGAGAGTTTATGTTAATGTATACAAGAAATGCTGTTTATTTTATTTAATACCAGTTAGCTTGCCATAGGATTATTGTAGGGAATGAAAGATTTAGAATCTTGATGCTCCTGTTTTAAATCAGATTCAGCCTGAGCAATGGTCAGTTATTAGGGACCGATTTCAAATTTTGCTTTTTAACTGAACGAGTTCACAACTCAGTAATTTTTGTATGCAATCATCAGGGTGTCATTTGAGTACAAAAGGAGCTGCATTCTTTCCTGTGTCATTTACTGCCAGTTGGCGGCGGGATAATTTTTGCCGAAAATTTCGATTTTTCGAAAAAGGCAAGATATAGCAGCCAACTTTTGATATACAGCCAAACGCTACAACTATTGATTCGCAAAAGTCATTTCAACAGTATTTGTACGATATTTCTTGCCGAAACCTCATATTTTTCAACACTCCGGGGTGTGCCCACGGAGCTTAAATTGTACCACAACAGGCTGAGCACAGCGGCCTAGTTCAAGTACAACACACAGTCCGCCTGCACAGACTTTCTTAGACTTTGTGTGCGTGTACGTACAAAACAAACGGGGGATTAGCATGTTTAAACTTCATCCGGAGGGCACTCGTGGCACGCTTGTCATTTGAACCCGTCAGCCATGCCTATGTATAGAAACAGCCTGACTGTGTAACTTACACGTCATCCGACACGAAGTAAGTGGAAAACCACTTAAAAAGAAATCTTGGGATCTTTCGGTGTAGTGATTAAAAGAATGTACATGTATTGTACATTGGGAGCCAGTTGGAGTTAGGGTATTATGGGCTTCGTGCGCCAACAAAAGGGGGCGCCGTTTTACCTAGCAACGACGTTCCATGGGCGGGACATTTAGCTAGTTGATGCGCAACGTTCCTTGTACTTTGTGTGTGATGCACGTACATTTGTACACCAGGGGATTTGTACTATGTACACGCAGTGGTACGGCCGCGCGTCGCAGCAAAATTGCAGTCGGGCAAGATGGCATTGGTCGGTCACCCCCAACTGTACTTTCTTTGCCGTTGAGGGGGCACTTGGGAACGGAGCGGATAGAGGGTGTCCCCCAAAAAGTTGTGCAAGCAGATATCCTTTTAATTTCTCAAAAACTTCTTAACATGAGTATCTCATCTTGATGGAGCATATTAATTATACTCTTGTACACAGTTAACTTAACTTACATCAGAGTGAAAAGGCCCATGACAATCTGATGCACTGATATCACTAACCGTGTCAATCCCATTAGAATGGGTGAAAAACCCATAGCCTTTACATATATGCACTTATAGTGCACTGTGAGTTATTTTAATCATATGAATAAACAAAAACAAACAAATTGAGCAACTCATTGAACAAAGTGGCACAACAACAAATGCCTCCGGTTTGGGAAAGTTTTAATAGTCAAACACATGGCGTGAGGGAGTTTTAATTGAGCATGGGTTGAATGCATGATGCGTCATTACTTCACGGAAAAGGAATGCGACTTTAAAAACAAGACATAAAGAAAGAATATTTCCGTAATAATGCTTTTGTTAATGTATAAGCTACACATGCAGAGCATAATTACTTATGAAAAATACTACACCAAACTAGACAACGGGTTGTTAAGGTTTGGTTTAGCATTTCTCAACATATTAATCTTAATCCAAATATGGTGCTAATTTATAAATTTGTTTAATATTTCGGCCTTTCCACAGAAGTGCTATTAATATTGACCGACAGTTAAATATGGTTATAGACTAAAGATTTGTTCAAGTATGAATTAAATCAATTGCATCATTTCACCCAAGTCATATGTTTGACCTTTTTTTCTTTTATTATAATTTTTTTTTTTTTGGTGGCTGTGACTTAAAAATTGTCCAAAAAATTGAGCAAATAAAAAGGCAGGATTTTCATAATTTATTATTTGATAACTTGAAACCCCATTACTACCAGAAAGCATTGAATATAAATAAGCTTAAATTAGTCTGAACCAATCATCTGCCTTCCTCTCTGAATTACATCATGAATATGCAAATAGGGGTCAAAGGTAGCAATGGGGCACAAAACTATCCAATACCAGTCGAGTATGCAAACTAAAGAAGCACGGCTTGTGCGAATTTAAAAATACTCAAAAATGTGAGAGTGAATCCGAACAAAATGAGAAAACGGGGAATGCTGAAAAAAAAAATGGATTTAAAAAGATCAATTTTGCAGATCTCAAAACTACATTATGGCCTCCGCTTTATACATTTTGCCATTGCTGTATGTATTTCTAAGGTTTCTGTTTTATGATTATTCAGCTTTGCCTTTATGATTTGTGGCAGGGTATATGCAAGCTTGCAAGAAAAAAAAAATTAGGGTCTTTTAATATTAAAAAATACACAATCACGAGATATCAATACTGATTGGAATTAATGATTACGACAAATTTTACAACACATAAAGTCAACGCCACAAAAAGCCATGTACAGATAGAAGTCATGATGTGCAATGATTTGAATAAAAATTTGAAGCCAGTCTTGCAATTTATTCATATTTTTGGATGAACTCAATTCAAGATGTGTCAGCTATGGTTAGTGTTTAGACCGAGGTTTTGTTTGCAAAACTCATATAATCTCAAGACAACTAAAAACATTTTCAGAAATACTGTTTTGGCATCTGTTGGCATTGGAAACCAGTTTTAGACTGGTGCCGTTCCACCACTGATTGTTTTCTTATATGACAAGACTGGCCACCAATTTTATTGCAGGCATCTGACTAATGTGCCTCAGCGATGAGTGCTTCTACAAGTCTGGTAACCTGAATACAGCTATAATACATCAATCCACAGAGCGCTGACACTGTACAGTTATTAGGAGTGTTCCAATTGTGTCCAGACGTTATTATAATTAATGGCAAACCAAGTTTATATCAGAAGACAAAAATATATCCAGCAATTTAGGACACGGTACACTCTTCTCTAAAACAAACAGTGACTGTACAAGCTAAATGTTTCGTTTCTCCTCCATTTTATAGTATTAGTGTAATTTTACAAATATCGGTGTTACTTTGAGAAATGAACCCCTCCTCAAATCTGAACTCATATTTTTTACAAAAACCTGCAGGGGGAAAACTGGCAATTTTTTTTGTAAAGTTATCTACCGTGGCGAATGACCAATAAAGCTTATTTTTTTATCTATAAAACCATGTATTTGTACGCACAGCTAATTTTTAAACATCTTTCTTCTTAATTGACATACCATCTACAGGAATTTTTTTTTTTTACAATTTTCAACAACACTGGATATTGTCCGCTATCGATCACTGTGTTGTCTAAACTCTTACAGGAACGTATTCAAGAGAAAAAAAAATGCAAAGATTGCACAAGCTTTTATTTTTTTTAAATAGTAACTGGACACAAATTAAATCTAGTGCATGCAGAACTGATGCTACGAATTAAAAGACTGTCGATGACTTAACACAATCTAAAAAAAAGTGCACGTTAATGAGGTCTCCACTACTAAAGTAATTGATAGAAAATTACTCATTCTTGTTAAGTGCAAATTCTGTTACATTATTTCCACATATCACTTGGGACGCTAAATGAATCGGGATTAGTATTATTTTTATACAAATATACAGTTAAACCCATCAACACATATTTCTTTTTCATTAAAATATTTCAACAATCTTAAAAACTTATTTTTATCTGGTGATTTTTTCTTTTTCTAAAACTGCATGCACTATGTAACAGATTCACTGATAAATTGGTGGCAAAATTGTTACATCGTGGTTATAACATCTTTACACAAAACTTTTCCGACAAATTTCTGCTTTACGTCAACACAAAACTTGAGCTAGTGAACAAAGTGTGCGTCTATCAGGTATGGAGTGCAAATGTGACTAAAAATCTAAAAACTAAACATGGTGAGATACAAACGCTTCTATATATGTTTAATATTATTCCTTTTTATACATCAAAGCTTATTCCTTTAATATTTAGAAATGTTTGGAAAAGTGAACCCAAAAAAATCCCCCTTGAACCTCAAACATGAATTGAAAAAAACTTTCAAATTCAACAAATTTTGCCAGGGCTGCTGAGTTCCAAGTTCTTAAAGCTGTGTATTTTGGTTCCCTCAAAGTCTCTGTAAAACCGAAATTAATTTTACAAAGATGATTTTTTTTTATGATGAAATTTACTTTTAACACAATTAAACCACACATAAAGGAATTGGTTAAAGCCACTCGTTTATATGACGGTTGCCTTTTGGGTCAAGAAAATTTAAGCTTCTATATTGCTGTCAACAATTTTGTCTTACATGCATCATTATTTTTTTTTTCTTCGGATCATCTGAAAGCACCACTTGATTGAAAAAATGCATACCTAAAAGTTGACCAGAAAAGAACATTGTTTGAAAATTTAACTGCGATTATTGAGATTTCTTGAATCTGTTGGAAAATTTTACGATTTATACTTAATTTCAGATCCATTTTCTTCAAGTTAAACTGGGGATGCACACAATGACTTTCACCCGCAACTTCCCCCCCCCTTTTTTTTTAGTAAAATAAAAATGTACATAGCAGAAAAATAAAATCCTTGGTTTCTACTAATCTGTAAATATGGTTCGCAATCGCAACTAAAAATGGCAAAAATGTCCAAATCAGAGCAAAACAAATCATGAAAGAAAAATAACATTTCAAAAATTAAAACAGGACAGACCTAAAATAATAAAATGCGGTAAAAAGCATTTTGAATACATCGCGATTAGCACTTTTCTGTCCAACTTTAGTCCTTTTTTTTGTACATCCTAAAAGTCAAATAATAAAAGCACCCTGAAGTGGCATGGCGTTATAATAAAGTATTGCATTGTGCTGCTGAGAAGACAATTTTATGCTTAGCACACAACTAACTTGCTCAGCGAAGAAATAGTCGAGAACCAGCCGAAAGCAGTATACATCTCATGGCCATTTCAGCTGGTAACCTTATTTTTGTGCTAAGCAATTATGTGTTCCTAGCAGCACATTGTAATTGACCTTTGACCTTTGAAGATTTCTATCATACAATTATTACATGTCCATGATTTTTTTAAATATTTTTTTAAAATTTGCAGCAGATTTTTCAATTATAGGTGGCTTATTCCCGGACAAACTTTTTTAATAGAAAAAAAAAGTCCTCCGAACCTACCGAACTGACATGCACACAAAACCCACAACGGAATAAATTGAATGAAAATTTATACAACATCCCTTGTCGCCCACCAAAGGCAAAACTAGACTCGCTAAACTTATCGTAACAATTTTTATTCCACGAAATAGTCTTCTTATTAAAAATGTACACTAGAATGTTGTATAATTTACGCTCAACCGACGTTGAGTTTACCCGCTACGATGTTAAATATCCTCGTCCAATAAAAGCAAAATTTAAAGATGCATCGATGGATGCATCTTTGCCTTAAATTAAATTTTTCGGATTGGTTTTTTTTTTTTTTTAGAACTTGAGTGTGGAATCGTCCCACTCTAGCTGGGTGCCTTTAATCTCGACGTCGATTTCTCCGGATCCGTCTTCTTCTTCGTCGTCATCTTCGTCGTCGTCCTCGGAGCTGTCGTCCAGGTCGTCTTGGCAACTGTCGTCATCATCGTCGCTGGAATCGCTTTCCATACCAATGTGGGTCTCAGTGGGCTGTTGAATCAAACGAATAACAATATTTATTAAAAACACTGGCACTACGCCAAACTAATTTAAATAAATACAGTCTGTATATTCACATTCTCAAGCACAGTATCATGAAGGGGTGAGATTTGGGAAAATTGAAAAATCCACGAAATCATCGGCAGAGGATTTGGGGTTCACAAAGGGCCCCAGAGCAACATAGACCATCAAAAATGTTAGACCATCTGTGGTATACGTTTTTATTTGCCTAAAGTCACCCCTTAAAAATACTCATTTCATTTGTTTTATACAAACTTTTATATGGAAAAACACCGCTACTGTAAAACCTCAGGAATTCCAGATATCAAAAGTGATTGTTTAGAAATCATGAAATCGGGGAAAAAGATTACAAATTGTTCACTTTGGTTTAAAAAGTACAGACCCTTTTTGCTTGGGAATCAGGCTAAAACCGGCAAAAAAAAATTCAAACAGGAAGTAAGCATTCTGACCCCAAAATGCTTTGAAGTTATAAATCTGCTTAATTTGATTCTGGACACAGAACTTCATGGTCCTGGAAATGCACCGGGAAATAAGTTTTGGAATTTACTTGAAATTTTAGACCATCAATCCATATTTATATGGACCCTTACAAATTTCCAATTCATCCTTGACTTTCAATTTTTTCCATAAGGTATGAAGAAAAATAGAACCCAAATTGACAGTTTTTAATGAAATTAATTTTTTTTCCTCTATCAATATTTTATTTTAAATTGTTTTTAGTGTCCATTCTGAACGACTGAATAATCTCCCTGTACATGTACATGTAAATGACTCACTAATCAACATTTTGCGCACTACTGAACAATGCTATGCTAATATCTGATCAACAATTTATGAAGCAGGTTGCTCTACGGTATCAATTTTCAGGATAGCCTTTAGTTACACAAAAACCTTTTAACGACAAAAATATCATTCATATTCATGTTCATTAATTTCTTTACTTCGAAGAATAATGAAATGCTATTGTCACTGTTTTTTAGTTCGTGTAGGAGAATATTTTTCTTTCTTTTTCAGTAAGGAGGTATAGCCTTCTTATAGCTACTCACTCCCCACAATTTTTTTTTTTTTAATCACCAAAAACCCTTAAATGTGTTTTTTTTTGTAAGCGAACATAATTTATTCCAATAGATTATCCTTAAAGGGAATATACAACATTTGCAAACATCAAAAAACAAATCTACCAAATTATCATGAAATACCTTCCTGGACTGTTCGTGAATGACAGTTTAAAGCACCTGTATTTTTAAAATCATGGCATTTGGTGTGCTGTCATTTTCAAGAAAATTTGTATTTTTGTAGCAATTTCCAATGCTGGTCGGCCTACCAGTGTTGAAAAAAACTGGCTTTTTAAAATACTTTTGCCCCCACTTTACCACATTTAGTTAGTCGGCATTTTGTTTGTAATCGATTACACATCTATGAACGGGTACAAGCCAGCTAGACTGGTTCCCTAACGTTACAACTAGCGGCCCATGAGCTCTGTGCACCGACAAAGAGGGCGCCCTTTTACCTAGCAACAACGCCCCATGGGCGGGACCGGGACATTTCGCTGGTTGACACGCACCGTTCCTTGTGTGTGACGCACGTACACCAGGGGATTTGTACTATGAACACACAGTGGCCGCGCTTCGCGGCAAATGAATTGCAGTCAGGCAAGATGGCGTCGGTCGGTCACCCCCAACTGTACTTCCTTTGCCGGTGAGGGGGTACTTGTGAACGGAGCGGATAGTATCCATCGCTGCACGCAAATTTTAACCGGCGCGCTTTGTCTATGCAATGTTTGACCAGCCAGGAAGGCAGCTGCAGCTGGCGTGTGTAAATCTTGATCGGCGAGTTTCAAATATTCGAATATTCAGTCAAATGCAGTTTCTAATCATCGAATACTATTATTTGAAAACGGACTGCCCAGTCACCTTGAAATATTTTGTCTGCATAGCAGACCCCACAAAATTGGGGTTTCCTGTTAATTATTTTTGAGTGCAATTTCCCCAAGTTTCTGTTAGGTTGCCTCTTACCCCTTCCATTGGGTTGACGGTGATATTGAGGGCTGAGTCGTCCCAATCAAAGTCCTGCTGATCGTAGGCGCTGTCGCGGTGGGCGGCGTAGATCCGGAACACGCCCAGCACAATCATGAAGACCAAGAAACCAACGCAGATGACGATAACAATAGTCATGGCTGTACCTGAAGAGAAACAAGGAAAGAACAAGCGGGTTTAATATAAAAAATAATGACAGTTGACTCTCGTTAATACAAATGCTGTCAATACAAATTCGGGATGCAGTGAACGTAAAAGCCTCGGTCCTGACGGAGCATTAATTTGCATAATGAATGAGACTAATGCTCCTTTTAATATCTTCTGATACAGGGCCTACATGTGGAAATTCCTTAAAGGGAAAATACAACAATTGCAAACATCGAAAAATAAAACTACTAAGTTGTTATGAAGTACCTTACTAGGATGTTGGTAAATGACAGTCTAAAACATCCTGTAAAATTAGGGCACCTAATGTGAAGTCATTTTCAAAAAAAATGGTACTTTTGTATACATTTCCAACAGTGGTCGGCCGACCACCGTTGGAAAAGCCTAACTGTTTTTCAACTACTGATCCAAATTTACCAGGTTTTTTTTTCAGTCCAAATATTGTTTGCTATTGGTTCCATGTTCATGAACGGGTGCAGGCCAGCTAGATTGGTTCCCTTACCTTACAATTTTCAGGCATTTTTGATCCATTTCATCTTTAGTGGAGTCAGGGAACCAGACTACTTGAACATTTTTGTTTTTCTTGGTTTTCCAGCATTTTCGAACACAAAACTTCAAACATGTCAGTGTAACAATATTTGCTCTATTATACTAACCCCCAAATAGTTTATTTCTGAAAATTACAGCAAAAGCAAATGTTGTACATTCCCTTTAAATTTGGATGTACATGTCAGACACTTTAATGAGCTGTTGGTTGATTGAATGTGACACATCACTAATATGTGACTTCTACTGAGTACACCAAACGAAAGTACCATCACCTGCAAACAACCTTGTATACATGCATGTACATCATGTGGTCAGACATACGCTTGATTTTACGGAATTGCTTGGGGGAACAGGTCTACCGACTACAGTCATTCTTTTGCTTTTGTTGCCCCCTAGCCCACCTTGGTGATGAGTTTTTTACTCTTTTGTTTTCTCTTGGTTATACTGTATATTTGTATTCCTTTTCTTTGGCTGAATAAATAATAATAATAAACAAACACTTTGGCCAAGTCCGGCTGACATAATATTAATACTTGTAGTCAACTCTCGGTGCCTGTTGAATGAGGCTAGTGCTCCTATTAATAACTTGTGGGCAATTCCTTAAATTCCGATGTACATGAGCTGCCGTTGGAAAAGTGAATGTGATACATCACTAATATGTGACATCTACCGAGTAGACCAGACTAAATTAAAAGTACCATCACCTTTAAACAACCTTGTACATGTACAGTCGAGTCTCGTTAATACAAACTCGTTCTGACCTAGCCAAATTGTTTGTTATATCAGAATTTTGTATAAGAGGAACATCAGTCCCATTCATTGTGCACATAAATGCACAGTCGGGACTAAGGCTTTATGTTTCTTATAACGAGATTCGACTGTACATCATGTGGTTGGATGGACGTACGTTTGATTTTACAAAATTGCCCTGCAACAAACATTTTGGCCAAGTCCAGCTGACATAATATTAACATTTGCAGTCAACTGTTGGTGACTATTTCTATCTTAGCTTCAATCCGGCAATCTGACCCATGCAAGCTTGCTTAATTGCACGGTTGAGACATCTGCTCCAGCAAACTGGAGGTTGTAGGTTCCAGTCCCATCCAAGCAAAACTGTGATAGTTTCTCACAAACTCTTGCCCAAGTACTGAGCATACCACTATTAAATCTAAACACATGAAGACTGCACTAATTTCGTCCAAAAGCTGTGTCAGATAAGGTAAAACAATGGAGGCTAGCTGTCCATGGATATGGTAAAACCTAACATTAAAATGCACATCTCCGCAAGCATTTTCCCCATCAAAACCATTTGCAATACACTTTCCCTGTACTTTTTATTTTACCAATAAAACCAGTATACAGATCCCTTATAGCTAATTATGCAAGATATATTTTGAAAGCAAGCTTATTTTTATAGCCCCCTTGTTGAGTATTCTGTATAGCAAATATGATCTCTGGGCCGATTCTGGTCAAGTTTATGGCCAGATTAATAATAATTTATGCCCGGCAGACCTTTATTAGAAATGCAGAGCCTTGTAGCTAATAGGGGGTTGGCGTTATTGCAATTTGGCAGTGTATCACCCACGCACGTAAGGGCAAATTGGATGGAAAGGCACTGTGCATGTACGTGCAAATTATAAACTGCAGAAAGACGATCAAGGTCATAAGAACCAGGGAAACATAATAGCTGATGTGAACTGCTGATGACAAATTCAATTGAAAATTTTACGAGGAATGACAAACAATGAAATGCAGAGTACCGGTTAGGTTACAAACAAAATGAATGGATATTATTCCTTGTAGACATGAATTCTATGCATAGCATTTACTGGAATAATCACTAAAGGGCCCAACTTTTTTTAATGCAACCTTGAATATGCACCTTTGTGTCTCATTCAACCCTATTTTCAAGTTATGTTTTGAATTTTGGTACCTTTTTTGGTTTTTATGCTAATGAAGATTTCCATATTCATGAGCAAAAGTGTGATGTCATTTCAGGCAGAAACCTCAATGTTACAGCTATTTCAGCACCAAAATTTGCCAGAAATTTGGATAATTCGCTGTCATCCGTAAATTTTCCTTTCTTTGGCTACTCATTGTTGTCAGGACGTGGCGTAAGCCAATGAGCAAATGTTTCTCACAAATGTTTTCAATGAGCACAATTTCGGGTTCGCAATTTGTACTGAAAACCCCTAACTAAACTGAACAGTGTCTTCCTGAAATGACATCACAGCAACAGCACCCTCAGTTGTCCAGAAAAAGCATGGAAACTTTGAAATGTTTAAAGAAGTGCACTTTTCAATAAAAATTAACCCAAAAGGGATATCAAATCTTTTGAATACATTTAAGGAGTAGAAAGTTGCAGAAAATAAGTTCCTAGGAAACATTCACTTCATGGTCCCTTAGAAAAAATATTAAAAACTACAAAAAATTGCAAAGTCATAATTTGTTGGTGACAGGTTTGATATATATCATTCAACAAAAACTTCTGAAGTGCAAAACTGAACGATGCTGGACCGCCTGGCAAATATAACTTTTAAGTATTAATAATATCCGTTTTTCTTCCTCCATGATATCGCCAATGAACACAAGATAGTTAAATCATGGAGCTATAAAACACCTTTTTATAGCTCCATGGTTAAATGTCATGTCCTACCGCCATGGTTTTGTGTATCAGATAATATAAGAGGTGGATATTCTTAAAGAATTTTTAAAAAAATGAATATTAAATCGTGAATACATTCCATCTTACCCATTAAGAACACGGCTTCGTTAATCACATAACCTCCGACAAATTCAGCAACTATTTCCTTGATTCTCGCATAGCATTCTCATCTCATACATGTATGTTCCAAAGGAGCTTTCACCATAATTAAAAATTCCTCACTTTCAAGAAAAATTTGCAATGCTTCCCAGAATGCGAGGACATCTAATAACCAGCCCAATGGCCACTTTATGGCTAATACAGCCAGGCATGATTGGCCAACCATGACTGATGACTAAACCACCAGCGGCCAATCACAGCTAAGCAGGATCCTGCTGTGCCAGCTGATTGGCTCAAGCCTCTGACCTTTGTGAATTTGCATAAAGGTTTGCACAGGTAGTTGGTGTTATACATGGCCAGCTGTTTTCTTATTTGAACATGTAGTTGACTGTGCTAATGGATGTTTACTCAAGTAAGCAACCAAAGGGATTAAAGAATTAGCATTGTTTGACTGGAGCTGTAAAAACTGGGCAATCTTCAGCACTTAGAGATAACAAAAGATTATCACTGATAACAAGTCTGCAACTCTTCTAGTATCAACAAAGTAACAAAAGACCTGTTAACAATGGACACAAGCCACATCAACACTGGATACATTGGTTTATTGGCTACTTTAATTGTTGATGTACAGTGTTATCAGAGTCAACTGGCAGGTGGTTGGATAGAGAGGGTGGTTTGTGGTCACATAAAGTGGGCCCTCTGTTGACAGCCAGAGAGCCGGACAAAGGAAAGCAATGCTATGTGTGATCACTGAAATCTTGCAATCAGTCAACACTATGTTTTCAAATAAGCAATCTGGCAAGGAATCTTTCAAGCAAAGGTTTTTTTTCGTGGTAAACACATTTTGCATCAGCAATTAAGAAAAAAGACTTTAAAAAACCCAAAAGGTACACGATGTTGACCCAGACTACAATTGAGAATACAGTTGAATCCTGATATTAAGGAGAGCACTGTTTCATTTTGGTTTGCGGTAACACCATGTGGTAATAACTACTGCTTAGAAGATACTTAGTTCTGAAAAGAACTTGTCCTGCTTATTATCAACTTTCGCTAAGTAGTTTTTGTTCTGATAAGAACAGTCGTGAATTAAGTTCTAACAGAACTTGTCTTTGGTCTCAATGTTTCGACTAGCCTGCTCTAGTCATCGTCCGGAGAGCACTGTTAATACAACATCCTGCTTATAACAAGGAAAATGTCAGGTCCCAAGTCCGTGATTTTCTTTGTTGTTCATTACTTATAATACAAGGTACCTGTTATAACAAAGACATTTGTAAAGTCCCAAAGACTTGTTATAAAGGTGTTCGACTGTATAAACATTGCCATTGACAGCAGAAATGTTACAACTGTTTTATTCTATTGTCTATTTTAGGGATTTTCAATACAACGGGGAGCGAGTAAGAATGGGGTCGAAATTTATCTGATCCAGTTGAGGGAAACCGTAGAGCTGCAAAGCAGGTTTGTAAAGTGGCCTCATTCGGGCGATTAACAATGCAGTGCGCCACCAAGAGTTTGCCATGGAGAGTCAACTTTTCAAGTTTACGGTCGACAAACTATGGCCCATTTTAATGAGTGTCAGTAGACACTTGAGCTAATTTGTTATAGATTGGGGCATAGCGTTCTGCTGCCTTACCAAAAACCACCATATTGATACAAAGAAAAGAAAAGGGCAAACATATACTCGAAACATATGCTTACGAAAACTACTGACCGGAAAAAACGAACAATTTAAAATGTCCTGCGCTGCAAATTTGTCGACCATCTCCCACAATGCACTGGGAAAAATGAACTCTCTGTGGCAAACTATTGGTGGCGCTCTGCATTGTTAATTGCCCGAATTGTTGAGGGATCTGGATTGACCAGATGCTGGTTATAACACAGGGAAGGTGTGGGGGTGGGGGAGGAGGAGGAGGTCGAGGGGGGGGGGGGGGGGGGGGGGGGGGGAGGGAGAGAAGAAATGGGGGTGGTGGGGTTGTAGGGGGCGCTAAGGGGTCTGGACTGACCAGATGCTGTGATCTGACCCAGGAAAGGGGTACAGTGAAAATGGGGGTACTGATTCTGAAGTTACTGGCTGTGGTGAAGTTACCCAAAGAAGTTTTTTTTTTGGGGGGGGAGGGGGTGGGTGAGGGTGTCAGGGGTTTTGTACTTACTGGATGCGGTGATCTGTCCCAGCTTGGTCAGTGGCATCTTCTCCTTCATCTCCTCCTCCAGGGTGTTCTTGCCGGGCTTGAAGAGGATGTTGGCGTGGGGGGCGGCCTTGTCATGGTTGGGTCGGATGGCTTGCTTGATGGACTTACGCAGGACATTCACCTAATAACGGAAACAAAGAGAAGTACTTCAAAAAAATGACTGGTTTTAGACCAATGCAAGTAAATTGAATACGCTTGTGGCCATCTGTATATTTACTGCACAAAATTATTCAAAATATGGCTGCCACAATACTGTGGCTAAAATTGCATTGCAGTGTTAAATGCCAACGTCATCAAAACGGTGTACATTGCAAATTCTGTTTTAAATTGACTATCGGTTCTTGCTTCAAATATCTTTTAGTTCTTCTTACAGATCAATCCGGCCACGCTATCAATGCTATCACGGAGGCCCCCGTCAATGGCGAAAGCATTGTGCTAGCTATTGTTCAGATAATCCGTTACGGGGCAGTTGCTTTGTACAATAGCATGCACAATGCTATCGTCCATACGGTATCTTGCCACACATGCACGCTCCAAAGTCACAGCCTGAAATTATTCAAGAAGTGAGACAACGACTTTTTCGAGAGACAACTCATCTTACCGTGATCTTGTACTCGTTGCTTTGGAACCGTCCGTTCAGCTCGGTGCATGTCACGGTCAAAGTGTGGGACAGCTTCTCAGTAGTGTCGGAGGAAGAGTACACCACTTGGCGAAGGACTTCCACATAGTGCTCAATGGTATCAACTCCTACAAAAATCAGCAAAAAAGGAGGACAAATAATTTTCAATTTTTTACTTCGACGGGAAGAACATATCACTTGGCGAAGGACCTCGACATAGTGCTCAATGGTATCAACTCCTGCAAAAATCAGCAAAATAGGAGAAGAAATCATTTACAAATTTTTGACTTCGACGGGAAGAATGTATCACTTGGCGGAGGACCTCAACATAGTGCGCAACGGTATCAACTCCTAAACAAATAATTTAGCCAAAAAGTTAATTTTCAAAGTCTGACAAAAATAACTTTCAAAACATTCCCATATTTGTGATTTAACACACACAAATTTACATTCTAATTATGTATTGGACCGAAACCAGTCAACAAGCAACAGCAACCTCAGTAGTTAAAAGAGTGAGATAGTTAAGCAGTAGGTTTACACCATAGAGCTAGATTAAATTACTAGAGTGCTAACTCCTCATTCTTGCATGCTGAGACGCTTTGAAGCCGCTTTGGGCGCAGACATTTTGAATTCATGTGCGTGTTTGTAGAACACAATCAAATTAGATGGATTGAAGTTTAAAAGCGTACTCTAAATGCAACGCGCAAGTAGAACGTACGCAAACAACTTCAGCGCATCATGACGGTTCAAAAAACGTCACGGTGAAAAGCATCTGCAGCGGATACGCCCACGGGTTTTGCTGTTTGCGTAGAGCAAAATGAAACGCTCATTTGCTGCTTGTGCGTTGCGGTTTTGGGCATATCGGCTTGGGTGATGCACCTGTATAGAATACAAAACGCAGATATGCAAATAGCTGTACAAAAAACGTACAAAATTTCCAGTTTTCCATAGGTTTGTGCACAAACATGGATGTGCCCAGCAGGCATCACTTTGTACATTAGTCAGCGCTCTAGTTATTTAATACAGCTCTATGGTTTACACCCACTAATAAAATATCAAGCAATATGAAAAGAGAACGTAATTTTTACCTTTGATGGACATTCCTTCCGAGGAGTCAAACTTGAGGAGGTGGTACGAGGCCAGCAGCTCGGCAGGGACGGTGAAGGACTCATCGCTAGTGAGATAGGTCCCTGTGGTGATGTTGCAGGAGTCCAGGCGGTGAGAGACGGTCAGGGGCACGTCTGGCTTCTTGCCAATCTCTGGAGATAACGAAGACAAATTAGAGGGATGGTTAAATGGCACAGCAAGCCATTAAGAAGGGTAGACAAGTGACAACTCTTGTTATGACATCATCATGCTGAATTTCACAAGACCCTGTATACGTTTTCAATGATAAATGTTACGATTTGAATTCAACCATGGCGCAACGCCATAATGAATTTCAATGTATGTTTTTTATATACAAATGACAATAAAATTCTATTCTATTCTATGAGTGGTTTGACTGCAAGCATTTCAGTAGAACGGTTCAAATGTAGCAGTATCATAAGAAAATGCGCCATTTTATTATCTGGAAATCATGCGTTTATGATTTTTAACCTTTGTCCCGACTCTGAAAAAAGCCGAAAGATGAAAATTACCGTCCAACAAATTATGTGACATTCTCATAAACATGTGTATCCTATTTGGGGTCAATTTCAACAAAGCTACCAAGCACAGAAACGTGCTTAGCACAAAAAAAATTCCTAAGCGAAAGAAAAACAGGTTACCAGCCAAAATATAAGGTGAGGCCTTAGGCTCGTAACTGGTACTTAGCTGATTTTCGCTTAACATGTTCTTTTTGCTGAGCAAAAATCAGCAGGCAACCAGTCACATACAATACAGGTTGCATAATTTTTTGGTCGGTAACCATTTTTTTTTTGCTAAGCAAATACTTTTTGGGCTAAGCAAGGAAAGGTTACCAGCCAAAACGTAAGGTGATGCCTATGACCTGTGTTTGGTACTTGGCTGATTTTCGCTTAGCAGGTTCTTTTGCTAAACAAAAATCTACAGGGAACCAGTCACACACAATATAGGTTGCATTTATATTTTGGATGGTAACCTGCTTTTTGCTAAGCAAATATTTTATGGGCTAAGCAAGAAAAGGCTGAGCAAGTTTCCTGCTTACCTTCCAGGGCAGCCTCTTCTTCTTCTTCTTGATCCTCGGACATCGTACTGACGATGCTGATGGATGCGAACGGGCGGATGCCGGCCTCGATCTCGTGCCCCTCCTGGGCCATCTGGCTGGGCCCCTCGATGGTAATGGTAGGTTCCGCTGGCTGTACCACCATCACATAGGCTGACACGTCGGTCATGGGCATGGGGATACCATCGCATCTGTGAAATGGGGGTGTGGGAAAAAACAGATGGGATATTTAAACTTGGTGAATGATGAGGCCCAAATGATACAAGTAGTCAGAGTTTTGGAGCCATGTTCTGTGCATTTAATGTGAAAATATCAAAAATCACTTGTAATGGTCAGGTTTTCACCCTACTAATCTATCCAATTTCATAAGAAAGTATCAAGAATTGTAATTAGGTCCTTTCAGTTTTTGTAGTTCGTCACCTGTCACTTGAGACCTTGCTTGTGACTTGTGATTTCCTTGTGATCTGACTTATGATGTACATGTGATGTGACTTATGATTGACTTGAGATGGAGTTTAATACAAGTCTAAAAAATATCACTGATGCAAAATCTTCTGTCAATTGATGTATACACTGTACATTGAATTCAAACCAGATTACAGCAATATGTTGGTACCTTAGTGGTTGATATGCCGAACGGAGTTGTCAATGTTATGGCATTTTGCATTGAGATGTGCTGACATACAATGCTTTTGCATGAATGCAAGGCTTACAATTGACGTACGAGTAAAAGTAAGTAAAGTCTGTCGCGAGCCAATGTGGCTCATCAGGCCGGCGTTTATCTCCGGTTTCAGTAGCATGAAACGACTGAGAATATTTCTACTCCCCCTGGACGAGATGCTAGTCCATCGCAGGTTACTCCCAAGCTAATGCCGGTACCCATTTATACTCCTGGGTGGAGAGGGGCAAGTGGGGGTGAAGTGGCTTGCCCAAGGACACAATATATGGCCAGCGGCTGGATTCGAACCCCGGACCCTCTGATCATGAGTCACGAACCCTAACCACTAGGCCACACACTCCCCTTATTGACGTACGACCTTACAGCGTATTTCCGTCACGATGACGCCATTTTTTTCAATGACATTTTGACAAATCTACACGTAAAACCTGACCAAAATACCTAAAAACACTGAATTTCAAAACAGTTGGTAGTTATGACTTTGTACCACCGACACGACTACATGCAGTCCCGTGTTCAAGTCAAAGCGAGTTACCTGCAAATATTTTTCTAAACGGGAAACCAAATATTGAGTTCCTGCCGACACGACTTACATGGTAATGGTCTTGATAGTGAGCGCCCTCTGTCCAGGGGTGGGGAACTTGCGGGAGTTGAAGTAGGAGACGCGGCGGAGAAGCTGAGAGGCATCGTTCAGATCACCCTGGAAAGAGAAAGAATCGACGGTTATTTACTCAAAACTGACTGCATAATGGTCGTCATTTTTTTAGCTTCTTTCACACTTTCACTTTCGGCCTGGTAGTTTTTTTGACATCATGGTTGTGGTAAGCAGACAGTGATGTTAGTTCTCCAGGGGTCCCCACGGTTTAAGTGAAACTCAATACAAGCACTGTGATAAGTGTAAAGAGTTAAGCCAAAGGGGGCATGGCTTAGGACCAAAACCAGAATGATCCAATGATCCATCACGACTGGACTACTGTAACAGCCTCTTGATTGGTATCAGTCAGAAACAGGAAAAAGAGGCTTGAAAATGTTCAGCGATCTGCTGCCAGAGTAATTCCAAACAAACGGAAGTTCGACTCCATCACTCCTGAACTTATCAAATTACACTGGCTTCCAATCGCACAAAGAATCAACTACAAGGTCATCATTCTTATGTTTGAAACGTACTGGAAACAAGCTCCCGCTTACATCACGGACATGTAATTAGTTCTCAACAGAGACGACTTGGATCATCAACCTCCTGTTCACTACACTTTGTTGAGCCCAGAACCCATTGTGTCTCTTTTGCTGATAGATCATTTTCTGTATATGGCCCCAGAATCTGGAACAAACTTCCAGAATACATTAGAGATACCACCTCACTGCATACATTCAAGACACTCCTGAAAGCTCACCTGTTTCAGGAGGTGTACAAGCAATAATTTTTCTTCTTTTCGGTGCCCCATCAGCGCCTTAGAGCAAACTTTTTGATTTTGACGCTATATAAATTTCTTTTGATTGATTGATTGATTGATTGATTGATTGTCCAACAGAGCAAAATTTGTTTGTTTTTCGGTGTACAATGAAACCCACCTTGATGACCAGCTCTGTCTTCATGGCGTTGAACTGGATCCTGTCTGCGGCCAGGTCGTCCGCCGCTATGCTCAGCCCTTCCTTGCAGCTGTACATGCACTCGATGGTGGACTCCGTCTCCACGTGGCCGGGGAGCACGCTCAGACCGGCCAGGTAACCTTGGAAGTGGCCGCTAAAGCGACCCTTGCCACCTGCGCGGGCATCAGTATCAAAGTCTTTGGGTTATCAAGATGGCATGCAAGGGAGGGGGTAAGGGGGCAAACGCAAACGGTGGGAGGAAGGGGTGTAGGAATGGGGTGGGGAAGGGTGCGGTTAATTTGAGAAATACAGAAGACATGCAAAGGTACAGAGGCAAAAACAACAGGTGGAAGAACGGTGCGAGTCGGGGGAAGAGGGGGGTTAAGATAAGCAAGAGTACATCATGGCAAAGAGGATACGAGGAGATCAATAAAAGGTAGAGGAGGGCATCCAGTTTGTAAGTTGGGGAGGGGTTGGATCAGAAGCAGGTGGCCAAAACGACACAGATCCCACAATGGTAGCACGTACAGAATGTTGGACAAATGCGGGTGTGGTTGGGGTAGAGGAAAGGGGAGGAGCAAGTGTTTAAGGGGGGGGGGGGGATAAAAATCAATCATCGTTTCATGCATGAAGAATCAGAGTGGGGCGAGAGAGTGGGAGAAAGAGGACCATGGAATGGTGTTTAGGATGAGATACAAGAAAAAAAGGGAGGTGCCAATATATACAAAGGCTGGGCCTAAGTACTACAAGACTATGGAGATACCGCCACCACAAAGTGTGTACAGCAGGGAATAGTCGCAGGGTGAGGGGAAATCACATCAGCCGACAGCTGTTTCATGTATTGATTTACAGGTAAAGTTTGTGTACAAGTTAACCTGTGCGGTAGGGCAATTCTCAAGTGTAGTCCCTTCTTTTTTGGACAACACGAAATAGTTACAGGATAATGGAAAGGGGGAAATCTCAAATCCATTGTTTGTAAAAATCTGTAATTATCGAATATGAATACATGCATATCGGAACTCAATACATCATAATATATTTGCTTCTTTCTTTAATAGGTACATTTTTTTTATAAATTTTATACGAACAAACTAATTTATTCCCCACATATGTCAAGGGTCGTTGCCATGACAACTCACCATCATAGCATGCACCGATGGTCAGCGCTACTGGGTAGTTGCTGTGGTGCAGCGGCCAATCGTCCGAGATCATCTTGGTCTGATGGAGCTCACCGTCAATGTACAGCATCACCTGCAAAGCAGAGAAACCATTAGTTTTAATCCAATCAACTATGCACCTGCCCAAGCGAGGTACCCGATACATGTATAATTACATGTACATGTACATGTACACATCATAATCTGCATACAAAGCATGCACAGAAACCATTATTAAATTTAATCAGCTATTCCCCATGCGCTTGCCCAAGCGAGGGCGCCAGATACATGTACATGTACTTGTATGTACATGTATTACATGTACACAGCACAACCTGCAATGCACAGAAACCATTATTAAATCCATTATATGCGCCTGCCCAAGCGAGGGCGCCAGATACTGTACATCTACGACCACATGTACACAGCATAATTTTATTAGTCTCATCCCCAAAATTAATGGCAGGAATAAATGAAAGAACTTTAACCTATGTGCAAGAAAGGGCAAGAAAGGGCAATGCAAAATGCACTAATCACTCTTCTATGATTGAAGTGCAATAAATTAATTATAGGACAGACAAAATCAAACCAAAAACCCCAAACAATAATAATAGTTTCGCAAAACCCAGACATGTAAATATACGACGGCTGCCTATTGTTTTTGACCATTTGCATAATGAAGGTCAGATGTCATCTAGGGTTTCTGAATTCTGTTGACTTTCCTCAGATGATCAATCATTAGTTCCCAGTGTTTGCGTGTTATCAAACCCGACAGACTCATCAAGCAGCGTATCACACAACACCACACAAACACACTAGCACAACGCTGCCTACGACTGTTTCATGAACATTGTTTTGTTGAACCATCCCCTTTGCCGGATTATTTCTTTTTTATCAAAACATGAAACGGGGGACTGTTAATCGGTTTGCAGGAGATGCCTAATTGCAGCAGGGCCTCATTAGAACTCTTGCGGGAAATCATGCACGGCGATTTCTGGGCACTTTACTTGGGTCCTTATTGCAAGTGCGATATCCTCGTCTCTATTTACATGTAGTGTATGTAATGATAAGTACATGTAAGGCACAAAATGTTTGATGTTTAGCTCGTAAAGTTGAGCAAATTGAAACAACAGATCGAGTGCTAATTACTACAACATAATTCGAAAACTCAAATGAACTTCACATTTTCACTTAATTACTAAATTAAATTCACATTTTGCACCCCCCCTCCCCGAAAATTTGGTTCTGGATCCACCCTTGATTACTCATTCACTGTGCAAATTTTATATTGAGCTTATCTTTGCTGAATTACGTTTTGGTGGATTATTTAAATATATGTTACAAAAGCAAATAAATAGCAGTGTTACTCCAATTTCTCGTCGCTAAAAACAGTAACTTTGAGTTTGTACAATATTTGACGTAACATAGCTTGTTTCTCATTTGGTTTTTCAGCAATTGTTTGTTTTTTTGTTCTCTCTTAATACATTTACGTTCTGTTCTAGTTTATAAATTTCATGCTTAGGTTCTGTCTCGGTCCAACTGTCTGTCTGTATTTGTTTTTGTTTGTTTTGTGTTTGTCCGTCCAAGGCATCTCGCCACAAACCTAGGCTTCCAGAAATTGCCTCCATACCTTTTTGTATTTCCACCTTTTTGACAAACTCTATTTGTTGATTTATGTACTGAATCGTGTATTCTATGCTTGCATGTATTTATCATTTTGGTACGGAAGTAAAAGTGAGTTTTGAATTGAATTGTTTTGTACACCATTCATGGCTTTAGAAGGGAGTGTTGGACTAGGTCAAGTCTTCCAGCAATCTGATGCATAATTCATTTGTTTGGAGGCTGCACCTGTGCTCTGTGCATAAATTATAAATGAGGATCGAGGAATATTGCACATGCACACACACGCCATGCTTGCCTTCAGGGAGGATGTTGTAATTGAGGGTCCATCTGGGTTTAATTTCACTGACCTGGGCCCAATGTCATGGAGCTGCTTAAGCAGAAAATTTGCTTAAGCACGAAAAAACATTGCTAAGTAAAATTAGGTTACCAGCCAAAACTCCATGAGATGTACATTGCTTGTGACTGGTATTTAGCTGTTGTTTACTTAGCATAACAATAACATGGAGTTTTGGCCGGTAACCTGATTTTATTAAGCAAGACGTTTTTGTGCTTAAGCAAATTTTGTGCGTAAGCAGCTCTATGAAATTGGCCCCTGGGCCCAATTCCATGGCTCTACTAACCACAGAATGCTTTGTTTACAATCAACATTTTGTGCTAAGCGCACTAGCAAAAAAATTCTGTGCTAATCCTGTAAGCACAGAATACTTAGTTACGGGATCTACGTATGCGCAGAAACCAAAATTACTTGGTAACTCGTGAAATACGCTTACTGTAAGCTCGGAATTTTCTACTACAGTAAGCACAGATTTTTCGTTAACGGTCAGCAAAGCCATTTAATTGGGCCCTGCTTAGGGGAGAATCTTGCTTAGCAAATATTGGCACTCAGCCAAAATCTGCAGAGAACCAGCCACAAGCAATGTACATTTGCATGAAACTTTGGCTGGTAACCTCCTGTTGCTAGGCAAATATGTCTGTGCTTGATAGCAACTCCATGAAACGGGAGACTTTTGAGGTGCTTGGTGGCACAAAAACACATTGGCCTTTAAATTATCTTAACGCCGGTTCACACTTCACGCAAAAACTCCACAGCAGAGCGAATTTCATAGCAGAGCAAATGTTTGGAAAACAGCAAACATCACAACAAAACTTCAATTGCTGACATCATGAAATTCCCTCCGCTTTCGCTTTCATGTGCAGTTTGAACCCGTCTTCAATGACGTCTCTGGCAGTTGCTTACGTACCGAAGGGAAATCAATGTTGAAGGTGTAGCGATGCCACTGCTTGTCGCAGACCTCGTCCAGCTTCCAGCGGAACTCCGTGGGGAAGAAAGCGTCGCTCTTCCCCTCGTCTTGGTGCCGCAGCAGCAGGACCAGACGACAGTTGTGGATGAAGATGGCGTAGTGGTGACGGTTCAGACCTAGGGAGACGAGAGACAGAGTGTGAGAAGAAATGACAATTAATCCCTAACTCCCACGGAAGTTTTGTGAGGAAGGTTATCAAATCTTGCGAAGCACTTCCACTGTTCCGCAGTGTTCATAGTAAACCCTAGTCCATTCACAAGTCTAATCATGAGTAACAGGGTGTGAACATTATCAAAGAAATGCTTTCGTCAAAGCTCATTCGAAAAGATTGTGACTTGACTTAAGTGATAACTAGTGAGGACTTGTAAAGACCAGTAGACTTGACTTTTAGCTTAGAGATCATTTGTTATATATAGCAGGGCAATCTGTTCCCTACCCTCACAGACACCCAATTACACTCCTGGGTAGAGAGAGGCGATTGTAGTAAAGTGACTTGCCCAAGAACACAAAACACCATGATCCCTGTCAAGGTCTAAGGCACATACCTCTGTATATGAGTCAGATACTGTAACCACTGAGATCAGCGCAATTTGTTCTCTGCCCTCACAGGCACCCGTTTATACTCCTGAGAGACAGGCAATTGTAGTAAAGCATCTTGCCCAAGAACACAAACACCCTGATCCTCGCCACGAGGTTCTCACCCAGCATAACCACTGAATCACAGCACGATGTTAACAGGTCAAAACTCACCCTCGCTGTCCGAGCTGCACATGATGTGCTCCTTGTTCAGTCCCTCCGTCTCGCCGTGCTTCATCCAGAAGGAGACGCTGAAGCGGTTGGTCAGGTTGGTTGGGGCGTACTTCTCCGGGATGATGACCGCGCTCTCCTCGCCGTCAAACTCGTAGATCTGCTCGCTGTCGTGTCCCTCGTCGGTCAGCAGGTCCTCGGTCCACTTCTGGCCCATGCCGGGGGAGGGCAGGAGGTCAAAACTGCCCGACGGTGATCCTGAAAGTAAAAATCATGCACCGGTTTTCAGACTGCCATCCCAGGGAATGCTAAACCAACTTATTCTGAAGATTTGAACTTGATTTTTGGAACAGTGTGGAATTGAAACCGCGATTTAACAACCGTTTACTTCTGCATTCTCTCCTAAAACTATTTGTTTTGGTTGACTTATAAATAAATACAGGAACTGCTGTCTAAAATTAGACGCCATGAAGCTCCTATGCATGTACTTAGTGCTCCTTAAAGCTACAGTCCATCATTTGTAATTTGTGCATTTTGTTCGTTTGAAGCAACAAAAGAGTTCAAAATCCAATGAAGGATACTGAACAACTAACCTGATGAAGTTTCAGCTAAGCTTCAGCTGTACATTCCGAGAAAAACAGCATTCTAAGATCTCAATTTCAAATCCAAAGTTAGGCCTACTGAATCATGTTTTGAATTGTTTTGAATTGCAGCTATACGCGACGTCGCGCACTGATCCGACGAATTATAACAACCGCGCGCGCGTGTGCATCGTTCCAATACTTGTGCGCGCTGCGCTGAATAACAAAACGAACTACTAATTTAAATTTTCCTACGGTGCTTCTTAAGAATCACCGTTGGAAATGCCTTCTTTCGTTGATAACTTCAAAATGACAGCTTGCCAGAAAGAATAATTTCACAGGGAGTTTAGTCCCCTTACTATCTTTCAACCAAGTTTGTTTTTCAACAATAATTACGCCAGTTACTTTTCGGATGGCTGCAAATGATGGACTATACCTTTAATGACCCACTCTAGATTTATCAATACTAACCACAGAGTTTGCGCTGCGACTCGGACGAGTAGGTCTCGCGATCGCAGCCAAAGCCGATGTGTCGGGTCTGGAGCTTGACCGTGGTGATGACCTCGCTGGTGGTGCAGTTGGGCTGGGTGCACGTCTCCAGGTGCATCATGGGAGCCAGGGGCTGCATCCCGGAGGCTGGGGTATACTCGATGCGTCTTGCTACGCCTGGAAGAGGAACAGATGAGACGGTTCATATTTAAAGGAATGAAACACGATTTCTCTCCATTTTGTGAATTTGTCAAAGTGTGAAACAGATATGACAGAACAGAATAATTACAGAGCACTGAACAGAAAGACAGACAGACAGACAAAGCTACAGATCTGAAAGAGAGACAGACTCGTTTCCTACATAAAACTAGACAGTGGCTGGTTCCCTCCCATTAAATTAATAAAGTACGTGGTGTCCATCATGTATATTACAAAGATGATAACTGGTTCCCTATTCTACTTCACTTAGACAGTAACTGGTTCCTCAACTATAAAATAAACAGACCGTGACTGGTCCCCTTCCTATAGATCAGACAGAAAAAGACCGGTTCACACCTTCACTTCATATGGACAATAACTGGTAACCTGCAGAAAATCTACAACCATTGACTGGTTCCCTACCTTAAGATCATACAGACTTTGACTGGTACCCTACCTTTCCATCCTGGAGAGCATAGTGTGCTGACAGTGATGGTGACGGGAACCGGCTCGCTGCTCCGGCCGCCGCAGTCATACGCAACGACGTTGAAGAGGTAGCGTGACTCGGTGTCACCGTCAAGGGCCTTGGTGGTTGAAATGCGCCCTGAAAGACACAATAAAAACAACCAAATGAATGAGACTGCCGAAACAGGTACATGTACATCGAACCAGCTACAAATTTATTGCCAAGCTAACTGGTTTAATGGTAAAGTATACAAAGTGGTCCGAGGTTTGAATTTTTCTCGAGTCACAGCTGAATGTACTGGTATGGTTCACATTGCAAGCTAATTCACATGTCATTGGCAGTTATGTAAAGCCAGAGTCCATCATTTGCAGCTATCCAAAAAAGTAACTGGCGTAACTATTGTTGAAAAACATACTGGTTGAAAGATAGTAAGGGGACTAAACTCCCTGTGAAATTATCCTTTCTGGCAAGCTCTCATTTTGAACAAATCAACGAAAGAAGGCATTTCCAAGCACCGTAGGAAAATTTAAATTAGTAGTTCGTTTTGTTATTCGGTGCAGCGCGCACAAGCATTGGAACGACGCACAGGCGCGCGCAGTTGCTATAATTCGTCAGATCAGTGCGCGACATAGTATGAAGCTGCGATTCAAAACAATTTGAAACATGATTCAGCAACTTTTGATTTGAAATTGAGATCCTAGAATGCTGTTTTTCTCGGAATATGAAGCTGAAGCTGAGCTGAAACTTCATCAAGTACGTTGTTCAGTATCTTTCATTAGATTTTGAACACTTTTGTTGCTTCAAACGAACAAAATGCACTAATTACAAATGATGGACTATAGCGTTAAAAAATACTAACTTAATTATGATGATGCACATGTGACAATGCATACAATGTAAACAAATATGACATCAAAATTATTCCTTTTAAGCCACTTTGTGAACCAGGAAGTGGTTTATTAGTGGTACAAGCACAACTCAGTTCTATAACTCATTCTTTATTCAACCGATAGAAAAAAGATGATACGCATATATGGCTATGGCAGAATTCCTGTAAACTAACTTGGTCCCCCCCCCCAAACAAATGCAAAAATTTCAACATGCAGCTGAAATTAATTTGCCATGGAATTTCATCATTTACCATGAACAGCATGTCCCCACCATAAAATAAAACACACATGGGCTATGCTTTCAATAATTAAAATCTAAAAATCATATTCTTGTCCAGTGGTGAAGGCTGGTTGTCATGGCAATGAACTTCTGTGGCAAATTACACAAAAAGGGAGATTGAAGCGTGACGACTACGTAATTTTCTCAGAGTTCAAGTACAGGACGACAGTGTTGAATAGCTAAACGCAAAAAGCTTTGGCATCAGCATTACACGAATGCCTTGTACAGTAATAACGGCTGGTCAAATTCGCAGTTGAAATCACTTCAAGATTCAAGTCCAAATTTTGCGCAATGACCCTCGTGCCGTTAATTGCTTGTGTACTTTCTGTGCCCCCTCCCCCAAACCTGAATATAAACAGTGTGTGTCGTGGACGTGACCGTTTGCCAGGCTATGAGCCAAGCAGACTCCTCATCAGCATGCAGTCCTTGGTGGGGCCTGAACTAATTACCTCCACAACCCGATTTTTTTTCCCCCTTTTTTTTTTTTTACAGCGTATTCGTGAACTTGTCCAACTATTTATGCCACGTCTGGGTCTGATTTGGCTAATGAACTCCAGATCTCTATGACATATATTTGACCAGTCGACTCAGCTGAAATTCTTTGAAGTCAAGGGCAAAAGGAGAAGGGGGGGGGGGGGGTGGTAAAAATTTGCATTAAAAGTAACCAGCATGCAATGTGCCACAAGTCTTTCCTGTGTGGAGTACTGTGGCCTCGTGGTTAAGGGCACTGATTCGTGGTCTGCGGGTAAAGCTGCAGGTTGTGGGTTCGAGGCCTGGCGGGGTCATGGTGCGTGTTCCCTTGGGCAAGGCACTTTGTCACTCATTGCTTCTCTCCACCCAGGAGTAAATGGGTACCTGTGAGGGCAGAGATGGTTATTGTGATTGAATTAGCTTCCTTGCGCCTAACAGGCTGCATCGAGCTGTATACTCCCCAGGGAGCTGAGATGGTATATGGAATGTTTCATGGGCCCAATGAGCGGGGGTAATAATGATGTAGAGTCTTGAGCACCAGTCCTGGTGGATTCGTGCGCTTTATAAATATCCACTATTATTACAGTATTGTTCTGTTCTTCCAATTGTCGGCGATTGATTTTGAGCCTCTAAAAGGTGAAATTATGGTCGGACATTGGGCATTCACCACACCAAACCGTTAAGCATATTTGTTGGAGGAAATGTTGTACTGTTGGTACATTCTTGGTATATCTGACAGCTCAAACTTGATCATGCTATTAAGTCATTTTTCTGAGTCAGTTTTGTTTTGGTTCTCCGATATGAGTTAAGCGAAAACATTCACCTAAATCCTATGCCAGAGTTGAAAATGGGCAAGTCCAAGAAAATGTCCCCTTTTTGTCCCCCTTGCCCCCATCAGACCCTGTAGCATACGCAACACAACATTTTCTTAAATTACATCATCATCGCAACCACTAACAACAAAAACATTCTTGCGCCCATTCTCCTTGCAGATGTCCAACAGCAGATAAAAAACACTGAAATCCATGAATATCTTAGAGGGTTAAACGTTCGTTACTTATTCTCAGACAGCTCGTGAGAATTGCGTAGGTTTGTTGCCCAAGTCCAAAGTACTGCATGGACATGTTTCATGCACCATTTAAAAAGTAAATGTTGGCCAGGGATGGACGGCTTTAAACTCAGTCACTGGCCACGAGTGAAAAAAAATTCACATATTTACTTTAGGGGTCATTTACCTTTCAAGGAGTACTTGGATGTGAATTACATGTAGTTGAGTTTTTAGGACTTTGGGAAGACCGGTTAATTTAAGATGAAGGATGTGTTCGGGTAAATGTAACGTTTTGCCAAAAGCTGAACTAAAAAAAAAAAAACCAAGTACACAATTTTCAAAATTACAACTGGGATTATCATAATCAACCCTCGAGCTGTTTACTTCAAATAATCCAGTATGGTCAGTACTGCACTACACAAACCAACTGAGTCCTCAAAAGGGAATCCTTCTCAAAACCTGTTTTTAAGGAGCTTTCCTTGCGATCAAAATTAAGTCACTTGGCCAGATGGCATCAGCCGGGGGCAGAAATAGGGGGAAATATGTCCTCTGTCCCATGACAAGTCCATTAGTGTGGCTTAGGGAAATACATGAAGCTATTACGAACACTATCTCGAAAAATCTGAAGAAAAGCACAGACGAAAAGGAAGGGCTGTTTCAACCGGTTTTTAAAGTCAATGCATGTGCGTGTATTTTCCAAACTGTCCCTTCAATTCGGTGCGCTAGTTTACAATGCTCTGGTGACACACTGAGTGGCCCGGTATTTACAGAGCGTGTGCGAAGAGGCTTCGCGCAGGGGGATAAAACGGCCAGTATTTTGAGAGGGATAAGTGATGTACACTGCTGTGCAAAATTCGTTGTCTATTTTTCTTGTAATTATTACGAGTGTTGTTTTATGATTTTTTTTGAAATAACCTTTAAAAAACAAAACTGAAATCTGTTACATTTCACAATTCGTGACATTCTAAAATTTCTTTTCTATGGAATTCGATGTTCGTTTTACATGTGCTGTTTTATTTCGATACATGTACATGTTCATGTACTCAGAAATATACATACATCATTTTCCTATTACCGTAGTTGCCGAAACCATGGATTTTGTGTGTAGTGAAGGCATGATTGTCATGGCAATGACATTTAGAAATATAATTAATTCTAAGTATGGGAACTCTTGCTGTATATAACTTCGGTGAATAAATCTCAATTAAATCTCAATCAATTTCTTGATTATTCGCAGGCAGTTATTAAAGGGAATATACAACATTTGCAAACATCAAAAAATAAAACTACCAAGTTTTTACGAAATACCTTACTAGGATGTTGGTAAATGACAGTCTAAAGCATCCTGTAAAATTATGGCACCTGGTGTGAAGTCATTTTCAAGAAAATGGTATTTTTGTATACATTTCCAACGGTGGTCGGCCGACCACCGTTGGAAAAACCTAACTATTGTTCAACTACTGTTCAAACTTCACACTTTTTTTCAGTCCAAATTTTGTTTGCTATTGGTTACATGTTCATGAACGGGTGCAAGCCAGCTAGACTGGTTCCCTTACCTTACAATTTTCCGGCATCTATAAATTGATCCATTTTATCTTTAGTGGAGTCAGGGAACCAGACTACTTGAACATTTTTGTTTTTCTTGGTTTTTGCCAGCATTTTCGAACACAAAACTTCAAACATGTCAGTGTTACAATATTTGATCTATTATACTAACCCTCAAATAGTTCATTTTTGAAAATTACAGCAAAAGCCAATGATGTACATTCCCTTTAAGTAAGAAATAAAATCACTCAATCAGTATCATTCAATTTTGACAATTGATATATTTTTCTTCATTATTCATAATAAAATTACCAGTCTCACTGCATTTCTAAATATATTTGTTGAGCTTTTTTGGACAAACCACAGAAGTAAAAAAAATTCACGCGTCCTCTACACTTAAAGGGGCAAAAGGTCCTGAAATCCCCGAAAAGTTTATGTTTTGAATAGTACTTAGCCTATTTCAAACATCTGGTCGAAAGGAAACCAACCTAATGTCTTACCATTCCCGAGAAAAGATGAAAACCCCCCGCTTGTTTACATCTGACATGACAGAGTACGAATAAATTTTTCGAGTCGTTCTCAGTATATATACACAGTTGTTTGTCTCAGGAACAGCGGTGACCAATCACCATCAATGCAAAAAAGTGGTTTCTTCAACGTCTGCAAAGGCGAACTCTTTACGAATGAAATCACAACTAGCATCCAAACAGCTCGAATTTATGGGGTCGCAAAAGTAGACCCCGAAATTCGTTCTCACATGCATAATACAGGAATAACACAAAAACGCCCAGTTGTGAAAGGAAAGTTGTGTGGATGTTTATATCCTACTTTTAAATGTTATTTCCGATTAACATCATCTCGTTCAAAATGCGATTTGTAGCCCAATTGGGCTGTTCCAGGACCT